TTCTCCTCCGCTTCCAAACGTGCGTGCCGCAACATGTAGGCCGCGTCAGAGGTGTCTTCGTAGTCCTCATCGTCACTTTCGACGCACAACTGAGCTGTCTTTTTGCTTCGTGATTGTTTTGAGCGCGACACACGGCAAGGAGGCCTCTGCGGTACGGATGGACGAGGTCGAAGGAAGTTGGCCGGCCCCAATTGATCACCGTACTTGTTCGTTAGAATGTCGTCTTCACGCCAGAAGGGAACTACAAACAATCCATCAATGAAATGGAAAATCACTGAGTTCGAAAGGCACTTCAGAGCGAAGAGGTAGACAGTTACACGCCTCTTTTGATACAAATGCACGGAAAACGTTGACGGTGGAAATGACAAAACCAATGAGAAAGAGAGCGGCTTAGCAGTGAAGCGTACCCAGGAACCGTAATAAGTGGGTATTGCCGATGATAAGCGGCTAGCGGACTAGTTTAAGTCTGGTTGAGGACTTACGCCAACCCTGGGCGACAGTAATGCCTCTCACAGGCAACAGGAATAGAACTTGCAGGGCAATTGCTCGAACCCCTAAATGAATGGGGGATTATCTGATACCGCAATAATCGCAGTAGTTTATTAAAAAATACTGGATCAAACCATCATAAATTCGACTAAATGACAACTACCCACACCCGTTGGATAAGTTTATCACTGAATTGGCTTTGAGAAGGCGTGAAAAGCCCACTTACCTTCAATCAGCGTTTGCGAACTCGTCTTTTGGGACGAAATACCAATTTGTGCATCAAAGTCGGGCTGATAATACTCATAACTGGACGTAAGGTAGGGGGAAACTTTCTCGCTTTTGTCATTACGTTGTGAAGAAGACCTGGATGGTATCACATTGGCGCTGCCGCTTGAGGTAGATGGTTGGTGGACATCGCTTCTAGCTGCATGCAGAGGAGATCTTGGGCGAAGTACACGAGGTTCTGTGGCGGAAAGCGAACGACCAAGTCCGTAACGCTCGAGAACAGGGGTAACATCCTCCAGTTTCACAGTAGAACGTTTTGTTGGTGGTGTATTTTCCTGCCATTCCTGCATACCCGTGTGGTGTGGAGAGCGCGGGGGTTGACGAGGTCTATCCGGTGAGACATGGGATGACCGAATTTTATTGGCACTAGGCTGGGGAGATGATGATCTTGGAAAGCATGTTGCAGGACTGGAAGGCCGTTTCATGATCCGAGCCCCACGAGACAGACATGACAGGGGATTAGGGTCTGTGGGCAGAAAAAACTACATGGACCAAACTACAGACCAAAAAAGCATATACAGACGACTTAATTTGCGTACCGTTTGTTTGGTTATTTATGTCGCATTCCATGCCAAAACTTCGCTTGAAAGATCTGGACACTGAAGACCCGGGGAGCATGTCAACTATCTTTTGAGCCAACATCTCGCTTTGGGTTTTCTAAATAAAAAAAACAATTAAAGAAAAAAAGTTGTTCTTTACAGCCTGGATTTCGTCTGAATATAATTTAACACTATAGCGTGACACAGGGAGCTTATGGCCAGCCATGAATCTCGCCACCCTTACCTGTTTATCAACAAAATTATTCTTAAAAGACCGATGAGAGTGGAACTGCACTCGACGGACAACGGTTGACATATTTCGAAAATTATTCCACAGTCATGACGAATATAATCAGAAACCCGCCCAAGAGAACCAGCTGAAACGGAGGCTGAGTATATCTGGCGGAATTTCAACAACAAAAATGAATAGACTTAAACAACACAGTAAATCAATGCGCTGCTAACATTATCTATAAACGCCTACTAACAAACAAAATGTTGTAAATATTGGCCTTAAAATTAATATTATTGGCCTAAAAAGGCGCCAATTTATCAACATTTTTAGATCAATAATTGATATTTTAACGGAATCCAAAGTTTTTCAAGCAATCAAGATTCTCTACTGAGAATAACTACAGTTTCAAAGCTACTACCGTGTAGGATATCATGAGCAGCGCGTATTTTATCTGTCAGAAAATATGTCCACTTTTTGTCACCGGAGATCATTTCCAGTAAGTCTGAGGCGGTGTCTGCTAAATTATTATTTAAGCACTCAGCTGAGGTTTTCTATCCACTGTAGTGAGTAGTAGCATTTACATCATGTATTTATAAAAAGTCCATGGTGCGTGATTTTACACATCACCGAATAATCTAACAGCCAAGAGATTTGGATGTTAATATTGGTGGCTGCTAACTTGCATTTTAGGTCCGTTTAGAAACTTTAAAAGCAAGATTTTGGAGAGAATAGGTCCGGCGAATGACAATTTTCACCCACGGTCCCAGAGTCATCCGTCGATGTTTGTCAAATTTGTTGCCACTCGTTATGGTTATGGAGCACAATGTACGCATCCTTTAACCTCAACAACTGATTTCCAGATTTCGCGTACTTATTTCGAATAAGTAGTATGTTCGGAATATTCCATGAATGATTACACGCAATACAAAGCATCACCTCTGTTTACGCACAAGAAGTGTTCCATCGCCTCGTGGAATAAATTGCTTTTATGCTCGTTAGGTCAAGAGCACATTTACGTGAAGTGTCGGCACAGGGCGCGGTCATATTGGATTACACAATAACCTTGTATATTCAGAACTCAGGGCTTTCTAAGTGGTCTATGGTGAGTATCATCAGCCAATTGGAGCCTAAGCTGGATGAGAAGTGTTTACTTCGTTAAAGACGCTGCCGGGAAGGAGGACTATCTGGCAGATAATTCTGGCCACAATTGTGTTAACAAAACTTGCCTAGTTGCACGTGCCCTCTCCAAATTAGGACTCAAATATTTTACACGCGGTTCGTGTATGACCCGACTCATTTTATTTCAACTGTGTAAACACACCTCCAGACCTCTGTCGATGCTGACTGTCCACTGTTTACCTCCAAGACCTATACATCTTCATGAACAGGCGTGGCTAACGAAGTTAACCAGGTCAACTACTCGCCCTTGACGCCTAAAAATATCTGCGAATAGAGAAGGCGATGCGATGGTGACACGACTGGGCGGACACAAATGCACTCTCACCTGCTACGCTCGATGTTTCATTGTGTAAAAACGTGTGAACTTGTGAACAGCGACCAATCAGATTGCGATCAACGTGTTCAAACAAGCTTTCTCTTATACTCGTCCGCTGCTGGTCCACACCACCATCCATTCATGGATGGCGCTAATTAACATTCCCCAGGCTTAGGTTGTCAAGGCGACTTACTTTCCCTGTGGCATGATTGAGGCATTTGAGTACCATCAAGAATGACGTCTTAGGATACCACCTTAATGGCGCAGTACAAATGCAGATTTGGGCTAAAATTTGGGTAATGGATTGTCACTCTCTTAAAGTAAAGATTCAAGGTCTCGTCGATGACCCGACTGAAGCCCAGTGAACGGACGCATAAGGTCGCACCAATAGACCAGACACGGCACACCCAACTTGGGGAGTTGATTCTCTGCAGACCCACTGGTTGCACATTAGAGATTAGGGGTCAACTTGTGAGAAAACGTTGGCAGATGTGGCTTTAGCGGGTTAACATCGATCGCGCCTGAGTGAACCTGTTTAGTGACCTGACGGTGATAATGACCCATCCTCTCTCTCATTGGTTACTGTTATCAGACGTCTGTCATTCGCTCACTGATCCACACACTTGGCCGGCGTGACGCTAATAAACAGTCGTGTCCTCTGCCGCCTCTTTTTCCACTCTTCTCGGGTTGTTACGGGCAGTTAACTAGAGGGTTGTAAGGTAGTGCTAAGTCTCTCACTAGTACACGGCCATTTGTAATGGATACTTAGGGCTTCCAGATCACGCTCAAACTGCAGAAACGTGGGTTGAATGGAAGGATATCGTTTCCAACTTTGGTTTCTGCTCCGCCGACGCGTTCCCCAAGACCTCGTATCCCACTTTTAGAAAGGCTCCAACAGAGTGATAGAGCAGCAGAAGTGCATCCACGCATCCGCAGCAACATTCACTTCTCACATTTAAGTAGTCATTTAGACACGAGCTTCACATGTGCGCATCATGTTCCAGGTTCTTGATACTGGCAAAGACTTCTCGTGGTGTAGATTCAACGCTCATCAGTTCTAATTCTTATTCTGATATTCCTGCTGTAAAATATCTTGCACGCTTAGCATCAAGAGATGCTACTGCTTGCACGAGTGTTTGATGTCTACGTTTGGCGTCAATAGAACACACAAAATTAACATTTGACGCTGGTAGGTTTTTTGGTTTCTGTCAGCCAGAAAAAATCACGGTTCTTTTAAATTCTTGGGAGTGTTAGACAGCAAAACCCTGTCCAAGTCGTGCATTTATTCAGTGATTCTGAGAGATAAAAGCGCAAACTTCATTAGTATGCGCCTATAAGAGCAGTTATAAACGGAGGTTCAATCTACCAACGTTGAAGTCATGGTGAAACGGCTGAGTAAAGACTGCTGTTCTGCCGTCCTGGCGATCTCTGGGGCAGTTCTCATGATGTTCTGCCTCGGGCATTTCTACACTCTTGGTAAGTACACCAGTGCTTGTTTCTGTAGATCTCGTATTTGATGGAAGCTCGTTCATTTAAGTAGTCAAACGAGTACTGGCGAATATTCGCTTAGGCAAGTCGCAAGAAACGCCTCATTTCGCGGGAAAACTGATTTCTTTACTTGGATATGAATAAAAATTGTTGGCATCTAGCGCCATAAGAAGCATATCAATGAGTGTATGGCGTTTTCGTTTGATAAAATGACGAATTGAACCGGAGATGTCACGAAATTTGAGCGTTTTACTACAGCCAAACCAACAATGTTGTCGGCACTAAGCAATGAATATGAATGCCTCTTAGATTACGTCCTTAATAAGTAATTCAAAGCCATGGAGACGTGAAGTGCTTTGAGACAAAGAACACCGAGTATCTTGCATCCTTATATTTATTAAGATCTTCATCGTAATGCCATACGCAAACTCCATCATAAAGGATAGTAATTCACTTCAGGTCTAAAAAAAACAGGCAAAAGTCATTCACTGAAGTCCACACGAGCAAACACATAAAGTTGGCTCCTGCTGGAAGGGTCGTAAATATCATCACCATCTGGATGGACGTCATCTTACTTCAAAGTAGCATTATAACGCGAATTGTAGCTCCAGAGGAAAGTCGTCCAGCACTGCTACAGACTACAGCAGCGCCTAGAACGCACGCCTTCAACTCTTTCTTCAATTTAGGTTGTGTTGGTGTCAGCACCGATGCGGTAATGAACCAGTGAGTTGCATGGTATAGCTGATAGTGATCACAGCTTATTCAAACGCTTCAACAGGGCTCCGTTTTACGTAATTAGTGGCATAAGTGGAGTAAGATGATTTCGCAATAGTCCAGCCGGCAGTAGTGTCATTTCCACAGAAGTTCACAGGCTATTAAGGATCTGAATATACAGCTCTAAGCTACCTGACTTTGGTGGTACCAAGCAACCATGCCTGAGTTGGATCTCACATCTAATTTTCCAGTTCAAACTAATCACTTTACCATCCCAAGGCCAACTCAAGTCAACGTATTTGATTGGACCCCCTGGTTTGGTTGAACTCTAACAGGATTGAACCCTTTCTGACCTTGTTTTCAGAAACTAGTTAACAACCGAAAGAAGATACGAAGAAATACACTGCATTACAAGCTCTTCTACCAATCATTAGATGCACCACGGATTATTAATTTGCATCCCCTCGTCAACCATGGAGTAGTATTTTATTCCCCCCATCAGAGGCATTTATCACACTGTAACTGATCAATAAGGGGATTGTCTAACGTCGATATCGATTCACTCTAATAAAGTTATTTTTTAGAATAATGCGGTCCAAGGCACGCTCATTTCAAACCTCTAAATGACCATGTTAGAAATCATGGTAAACAATATGAACAAAAAACTTGACTGCGGTTGTGGTCTGGGATCGAAGCCAATATTACGGTCTAGGCGGGTTCACGGATGAAGTTTAAAGGACAAGCATTGACCTTATTATTATATTCACTTGTTAATGAGTTTTTCGTCTTTTCAAAATCTCTCCTACTTAGTCTGAAAAAGCCAGAGGTAAATCTAAAATCTAAACAGGAACTTTTATACTACTGGGTAAGTGAGTGACGTCCACACAAAAGCACCCAGACACCATTGGCTGAATTAATTTCAGAGTGTTTTGCGATCAAATAGGAATGAAATATCCCCATAGATTAGGCAGATTTTGATGCTGGAAGTCGATTCACTTTGCGTCACCTAAACTGATGACTCAGCGATACGTCGTCATAACGCGGGCAGAGTTGAGCTCACGCGACCGTTGTGTATCGATTTTTTATTTGAGTTCAGTTCGCGCCAGGCGTGCTTTTGGCGAGTCTCTGCATCGATTTTTGGGACCAGATCTTCATGTAAGGCTTTTGCTCTGAAGCACATTCAATGCTTTCTCGACCGAAGGGACAGAAATCAGGAAGGAATCCGCCATCTGAGAAAAATTACTCATCTGTTGTCTGATGCGTTGCACAGGTATCAATTGCATTCCAATTTTTTGTCAGGGAACATGTCTCCGTACATCATGTCTTACCTTTGGACGCGGTTAGGCGACAAGGCGGCGAGCAACAGTCTCGCCGTCTGGCTGTCCGCGGGATCACTCGCCTGTCAGGGCATCGCACTGCCAGTGGCTGGCATTCTCGTCAACAAAATAGGTGTCCGGCCAATCCTGATCTTCAGTCTTCTGACTCATAGGTAAGCTGCCTTCTGTTACCAGTAGAGCGATATTTTGAAGCATACCTAATTGATGAAGCAGTTTGAGAGGAAAGAGAACACGCTGCGAGGACTTAACAAGCTACATTTTCACAAATCGTGGTCCACTTTGGTCAGAAGTGTACCAGCTCTGCCGATTGTAGGGCATCTGAGTTCGAAACATTCAAATTCCAACCAACAAACACTTGGCGAATGTCAATAGTAAGCGATCAAGGCCTTCCGCGTACCCAGTGTTGCTGGCAAGGTCAATTTCGCAATTGGAGAAACGCCAAAAGTTAACACACCTCGCAACCATCCTCTTTGCTTTACGTCACACAAACAGACAACACACTGCCCAAGCCTCTAGTGCTCAAACACTAGCGATTTATAATTAAGCTGTTGTGTGCGAAGTTGCGCACATTCTGTCCTAAGCAAACACGCAAGTTAAACCCCTTCGGCCTTAAGGTAAGCCAGTATGCGCTCAAAATTTTCAGTTTCTGGCCTTTTTACATGTTGGAATCATCTTTTCTAAGACTGTTTGACCTCTGAACTGTTCGTTTCTGTCGCTAGAGTGGTGGCTTTCCCTTAAATTTAGATCATACATAGAAGACGATGAAAGGCTGGTCCATCGACACCATAATCGTTGCAAAGTACTTGTTATAGTATGTATTGCAAGCGCGTAGGGGTGGCTAAAATTCGAAAAACGATGTACTTTCTTTTTCGCCATCTTACTACTGCGGTTAGGGAGTGTCTGACAGGAAGACAAGTGCTTAGGAAACTAGCATACGCGCACACAATTAGACGTAATTAAACACCTCTCACCTACTCGGGGCAAGAAGAAAACCGTAACTGATACGATCCAGAACGGCAATTATTCACACGGTCCAATCAACTTAATCGCATCAGAATGTTCGGATCGTAGACTGGCATCTTACTGTCCGTTTTGTCCAAGCTTGAAACTTGAAGGTTTGTCTGTAACTGAGGGTCGACCAATAGAAAACGGGATGACTAGTTAGCGAGGTCGTCACCATGGTTTCTAGGAGACTGACGCACATTTTTTTGTCTACGGCCCATATGTAGAAGAACACTAACTTCGTTTCACAGAAATTTTGATGAATATGTGGTTACATATACAAATAACTACACACAGTTTGCGGAGGTAGCAGTCACAAGCACTTACGATGGAAGTGCTTTGACAAAGTTTGTAAGTGCTCTGCGACATTCTTTTCCAACATGATATTTTTGACGAACGTCAAGGGAAATTCATTATTATAGACCTGTTCCCATTCATTCCGACTTCCATGCTACTCAAGAATAAAGTGACGGTGACAGGTTCGTGTTTATAGCCAGTCATTCTTGACAAGATTGAACCATGTTAGTCCGCAAAGACCGAGAGTGTAAAAACTTGGTCGACGTGTTGTGTCACCCGGCCTTTATATCCACTTGAGTGTGCAAATACTACGACGCATAATTTTAGCCTACAGTCTGTTACACAAATGGACCTTGTAGTAACCAAGGGTAACCCTTTGAAATTTGAAACACCGTGGCTTAATTTGTGGGTAAGAGGGGCAAAACTCACTCGTTTTTTGAGCCGATACGGGAACAGCATAGTTAGCGTTAAAAAAATTGACAGGTCATAATGCCGTAAACGAAATGATCACGTGTAAGCTTGGGCTGTTTGGTAAGATTAAAAAAAAACAACACGCCTTAAGCTTGTTCAATCTCGCTATTATCGTCTGTTTTGTCCAAGCTTGAGACTTGCACGAGAGCGACTGTAGGTCTGTCTGTAACTGAGGGTCGACTTTTGTGACTGCCTTAACTAGTTTTAGACCAAAAGTTAATAATCACCCGAAATTTTTCCTTAAAATAAGACGGGTCAATCTGCAGTATATATAGTTTTCGTATTTTTACAAAACCTTACACAAAAACGCTTACTGGATCATTCCAATGGTCTAGTTCTCATCAGGAATAATCATGTCGAAGTCCAGACAAACTTACAATCACAGACTGCCTTTTGTTTTAATAAAAACGAAAATACGTTACTGGAAATTGCTTCACCATCCCCTTATTTTATTATTTTTGCCTAATTGATTTCTTTTATTTTGAATTTGGCCAATTTAGGAGGTTAAAGCATCGATTTCAAACGGATTTACATATTAAAGTTATCTCGATTTTAAAAAGAAATCATTTGTAATCCTGCGTTTAGCTCTGCGGATGTCCACTACTAAAAAAATTTTTCGAATGAATTAAGAAATTCAGCTGTTAAAAATATAATCTTTTGCCGGAATTGATCGAGTAGATTTAAAATTGGTTGTATGCAAGCTGGCCAAAGTGTAAACCACATTCGTACAAAACTGGCCAAGATTTTAAATTCCTTCAATGCGCCGGTTTTGGTGTTTAAATGCGATTGACGAAATGCTTTGAGGTATGTTGCGTTGAAACAAAAATCAAACGAAACCACTTCTATGCATAAATTCATTTAAATTATCCAACTAAATCATTAAGATGACTCAGTTGTAGGCGTTTTGTTCATTTAGAAATGAAAATAAATGCAAGTTTTTGTTTAAATTTGCCAATCCACAAATACTTAGCGGTTACTGTTTATCCAACCAAGCGTCACTGAAATCAGACAAGTTTGACGGTGATTCGCGTTTTTCTTGAGCACTTTGCTAATATTTTACTCTCGAATACCAAGGATTTAATCGGCTTTTTTTACTGTCTGGATTTAGATTTTTGGCATTAAACAGCCAAGGTATTTGACATTTCGGATCAGACAAAATAAATTGTGGTTTATTTGCAAAAATACACAAGAAACTACTAGAAAACACTGGCTTCAATGAAGTGCGTAGTTACGGCTTTGTCAAGTGGGCTTCTGCCATCAGCAAAACGCGTACATTCGTTTGTGTGTGGGAGTTCTACCAGTCAGAGCGTTTGCGAAATTTTGAATAGGCAAAAATCTGGCTGCGTGGGTTCTCAACCAAAATGAGTTACCAAACATTTGTGCAACGCCCTGCCTTATTATGATGGAAAATGATGGCAGGATGATATTGTGGAGTGATTTAGCTATCGAAGTGGCCTTCTCTGATTCACCACGGATCAGTTCCATGACCGTCTTTGATGAATGCTATTGTCGATGCACCCCTCGTTTTCGCGTCCAGCGATGACTGGGTCTGGATTTCACATCTCAAGTACTGATTAATTGAGTTATGATGATTCCATAACAGGTTAGATGATCTTGGTGTAATTTCTAGCACAAATGTATGACCTCGACCCGATTCAGCTATTGGTCGTGGACAAGTTTGAGTCAAAATCTCCAAAACACAACTTATAAAGCCAGCCCCAACGCGTTTATTCACTTTACACGCTTCTTTGTAAGCACAAACACCTTTATCGTTTCTAATATGCACTCAACGTTGACATCAACATTAACAACTGTGGAAATATTCGCGTGCGCCTTTCTTCCAAAATGCGTCAAAAGTGACATTTACCAAGTAGCAAAAGGAACAAAATGACGATGACACTAACGGATATCCATCACAACAAACACACGTCTAACTGCGTGTGGAAGCTACAACCACTTCCTTGACGGGTTGATGCTAGGCTTTTGGTTGTTGTCGATGCGGCTTTGCCTTGCAGGTATAACTTGAGTATCCAATTAGCTGACAATAAACGATTGTTATCGTTTGCTTCAATACACTTACGATAAGCTCCCTCAATGCTCTTTATAACGAATCCTACACGAAATGCCCCAAATGATGTTGACGGATTTCATTTTCCCAAAATGTTAGTTCACAAGTAATTTTAGGTAAACGGAGACGAATTATGAAATTTTAAAAGAAACTGATCATATGTTTTTCCGAGATGACATAGCCTATTTGGTTTTGACGGCTTGGAAAAAACGTCTTTTTGATGAAAACAAGCAAACTTCTCATTTGAGTCAGAGTTCCTGCCTTAGTTCTGCTAAACCGACTGTAATTTTGGCACCAACTGAAGCCACCGGACTAGTAATTAAACAAACACGAGCTCTTCATGTGTGTACCAAAAGTAACTTACGGATCCACGTGTCAATTTACTTTAATCAGAACTCTCGTTTGTCTTCCGTCTTTTGTGTATTTGATCGATTCTCTTTTGGCCTCATATTTGAAATCTACCTAAGAAAATGCATAAATCTTTGGCATTGGGACATTGTTGCATGAATCTGAAACACATAAGCACTTCACTCTTGTGAACAAACACCGACCTCTTCCAAGCTGTGCCCCTTTTGTGAACAATGATACATTAAGTCAAACACAAATACTCATATTACGGATTTACGAGAAACGCACACCGCACAGCTTCGGATTTCGGTTCTGACTGATCGCACACACTATGAAACGCCACTGAGAGTTAATGTATGCAGCAAACATATACCGCCTATGCAACATCGAAGTTGTTGCTGCGTCAAAGAAGTTGGTTTGCAGTAATTAACTCCTATTTAGCAAACACTTTTACGAGGTTATCACATAGGGCCACAAGTGCTTCACCGTTGTTATAATTCTTCATGGCCTTGAGACAAAACTATTGCGCAATTCAAATCACTTATTTACGTTAGGTGCCACATATCAGTCTCCTTTCTATGGAAATGCATTTGCCCTTTAAGAGCTATCAGCAGTTCTGTAGCGCTATCAAAAACTATTAGATTAAAGATGCTGAGATTTGGCATAGAAATGAATTTGGTACCCGTCAAATCCACAAAACTCTCTGACTAAAACAACTGGAGGCCACGGATTAAAACTGTCGTATAAACTGTTAGAGTTAACTAATTTTAAGTCTGAGACGTCATTTCTGGGAGTCCGACACGGCACAAAATTAATCTCTTTTTGGACGTAACCTTCCATACTAGTACCTTACAATTTGACCAGCCGAATAGAATAGTTTATGAAAAAGGGCTTTTCGATAACCACCAGATTGACGACGTTAGGATCCACATCGGACTAGGTGGTACTCTGGTTTACGTAATTCCAGATTACCATGCAGTGGGTGGCTGATGTTTCGAGTTATAGTACATCGCACTAAATGACGACATGTTTGCACAACGTGTTGCGTGTTCGGGTATACAACTGCCCACAGAGGCTTTTCCTGTTTACGACAAGCAATTTTTTGGCACGATAATGCCTCTTCGGGTTTAAAGAGCCAAAATCACTAGTTAAGCAGTTATAAGCACCCGGCATTCTCTTTGCCCAATGACTGTGCCAAGCGTAGTTAAAGATTAAACAAATCGTTTGCAGGAATGAGCGTAAAACGCTGTGTTCAATATCTCCACATTGTTGTGTGCAAGGTGCGTTTCGACGGTGACGTTGTCATAGTGATTGTACATTATTCTGGCACCTCTGGAGTAGTGCATACTGCGGTGAAGGTCGGTACTCTTGTTTTCACCAAGACAATGGATAGGTAAACCATGGAATTTCGGTTTTGTAGACCAACATATATTTTGCTTTGTAAAGGTCAGGTTCGTTTTAAAAGTACTGCCCACTCGTATTAATTTTTTGGCCTATGATGAAAATCGTTTATTCATGAACGGCATCCCCACTGAAATAGTTATTAATAAGTCACACCCGGAACATTTACAACATTTATAACATACAACAGGAAATAGCTATGGTAAAAACGCACATTACTCTTGGACACAACTAATATACAGGGTGAATTTTAAACTATAATGCGGAGTCAGTTTTGTCCTAATGGGCAATTAGTACAAGTTTTATCATGTCAAAATTTGCAAGCTTTGAAACAGACAGCAATTTGGTGGAACAGGAAAGGGGTCATATGAAGGGTAAATGCTGTCGCCACCCAAACGCAAATAACCTGTATTCTGGCAATTTTTACTAGTTTTTTTAAAGCATCCAGCTAACGGGATTATTTCTTGCCTCAGGAACACATCAACTTACTGACCTTTTTTTGAAGTCCCATTAAACCATTCAACTTTTAATACAGTGTGTGATGTTCATCACGCTTTATGACTGGTTTTGATGTAGATTCCAGCTGAACTGTGCTAAAAAATGCACTTTTACTGCTTTTGAGTTGCATATCCCGAAGAAAATTCCCTTGCATTCCAACGGTAACCCCCAAGATTCTACCTTTAACGAGTCTAGCAAATTTTAAGTGATCTTCAGTGCTTACGTGTGGTACATAATTGCACAACCACGGGCTAACTCAATCAGGCTACTTTGGTAGTTTGGCCATAGTGACGGTTGTCAACAATGAGTGGAAGCTTTTTAGAACTCAATTGTAAAACCAAATCCGACACATATTTTGTTAAGAAGTTGATGACAGCATTAGTAGCTTTGCTGCTAAAAATAAAAACAATTAATTAAACATTTACCGATATCTGAGAGAAGGGCTTACCGCTTACCAAAACCAGAAAAAGTCTCACTCCAGACAAGTAGATAACAATGTTCTGTCTGAAGACTAAATTTACGTGCACTGGTCACCGAATTCTATGTTCCAACTCCCAGCGAGTTCATCGCAGTGTGCGTATGACTAATGTATTCCTTCTTGAAAGTACTCTCACGGATCAAGTAAAAGGATCGAGTTGACTTTTCCTGTTTAGACACGTCATTAAAATGCAAAGACATGCGTTTCAAATCACCAGTGACCTCCAAGTAACTAGAATTATATCACGTCCTTTATTGTGGGCCCCAGCATGTGGTCTTGAACCACGCCGGGGCCACGGAATTAACCCTGGCCCGATTACGTTTCCCCAGTTCCCGCGGTGAAGAAAAAGATATGAGAGGACGTGGACACAACCGTTTACTTCAGAACTCAACCACGTTGGTGTCGTTGTGTCGTGTGTGGAGGTTGCGCGTGTATTTATACCTCGGATGTTTAAGTATTACATGCCCTAACATCGAGACCAAGGTGTGAGGATAATCCAAGATAAATATCCGTGTGAATGAGGAGGGTGTTGAGGAAGATGCGCGGCTGGCGAAATGCTACGAAAAGGGGAACCCTGTGTCAGAGGATGCAGCGACCGGATTAAGGGATGTGAATAGACACGATTCACAACACTTTAGTCAAGTTTGTGAGAATCTGCAAAGTTGACTTGGGTTCGAACGGCAGTACAATCACTGCAAGTGCCTCGTTGCCTACGCCAATGAGTAAAGTGTCTTCTAACGTGACGTCAGATTCATTCATTTGGCCATAGGTAGGCTTGCCCAACCACTTTTTGATTCGAAATTTATGAGGTTGTATATAGGGCTGTCCTTACCGACGTCCCTGTTACCATTCAAAACCGTCGTTCACACGAGTGTGCGCACAAAGTGGCAGGGCATTTGCAGATGTCTTTAAGTTATTAATCACAAAGCCATCCGGCTCGATCGAGTGGCCCCGAGACAGAAGTAATGAACACAGACGAACATTTTTTTCACTTGTTTACAAGACCACAGTTATTCTTCTCGCTTGTTTATCAATTCACTTATTGACACCACCCGGTGTTAGTGCAAAGCCGTCAACAGGCGGAAGTCAGACGAGGTTGTATAAATACACTACTTAACAGGTCCGTATTTCCATTCAAGTAAGGAATAATGTTCAAGAAGCCGTCGCGCAACACACTCCAGGGCTGCCTTGCAGTGACAATGGCATGCTTTGCCCTAGCACCCCTTGGACACATCACAACTCTAGGTGAGTGGTCATTAGCACACCCCCTTAACACCCCCCTAGCCAACATGGTGCCCTATTTGGTGTCGTACATGCGCAAGCACACCGATGCGAAGGCAGTCTATAGCCTGGCCATATGGCTGTCCTGTGGACTCCACGCCACCCAGGGTATCTCAACACCTCTGACAGCAGCTCTCCTCCCTAAAATCGGATACAGACCCCTCCTTATCGTCTCGTGGATTATTCACAAGTGAGTTGCATCACCTCAGGCACTAACACACGGCTTGCTTTGACGTTGCCACCAAAGCGGACAGGTTTCACCTCGTTTGAGACGGATTCAGGAACTGACTGCTTGCCCCTTAAGAAAAGACCTTGTATCTGGAGTTTTGGCGGTGTGAATTCAATTTTTAATTCAGCAGACGCGGGTGATTTATTCTAAATCCAGACCCCATAACCCGAGACGCTATGGCTGGGGTCAGCGAGAAACTGTATCCAGGTAATTTCGGGGCTACACGAATCCACCTTTTCAGTCAATTACTGTTCAAATGCTTCGATTTTTTTAAAAAAATTCACCATTTAGATCTTCCCGTCCACGCAGATTACAACCTTGCCAGTCATCTTGAACTCATTGACACAGACGCCGTTTTTTATTGACCGTCTGAGTCGATGATATCTTGTTATTTTTACGACACTCGGAATAATTGTCAACTGGAAAGCAAATTAACTGGTTCTTGAAAATAGGTAAGACAACTCTGAATTTCGTTTAATGGCTCTAACCATCAACCGGATCTTCTAAGGTGCCTTTGGTTATAGTTCAAACTGAAGTAATTTTTCATTTCGCAAGTATGCGACAGATCATAGAGCTAACTTTTGGTGCTGTGAAATGCGGAAGTAGTGAGGTATGGACGTTTAACTGCATTTGTTCAGCCACTGCATCGTAAATCACCGCTTCTAACATAATCTCTGGACACTGTAGTCCTGGAGGTGTCGAAATTTTGATACAGGCTCCTGGAATAGTCTAAAGTCGTACTTTGTATGCTGCATCAACTTTTAATCTACCTGAAAACACGCGTTCTGCACTTTTAGTAGCACTTGCGTTTATGACAAATCTTGAAAAATTCCTAACCACTGGACCTCTAGTCAAAAAAATCAAGACTTGTAACCAAATTCCTCAAATCTTCACTGCGTTTCGAACATTTTTTGAATTCTCTGCAGGATTACTGTATTGTGGTGTGAGATTTACCAGACAATTATTGTCATATGTCTCGCTGGACTTAAGGTCGCTTCGACTATGTCTGTTCGATGTCAAACAAATTTTCACGACTGCAGTTAAATCGAATTAAACAGTTGTCGTAGCGATTCTGGTTTTATAATCCCCACATAAGTGCCCTATCGGAAAAAAACTTTTGTTCATCGTTAAGACTCATTTGTCAAACACCCGGATAAAACTTAAGAGTACCACCAAGACCTTCAGGTAGGTTATGTAGAGACATCAAACTGCCACACCCAGTAGCCATCCAAGTGGCAGCACCATTAGATTACTTGGCTGTGTGTCCTTTGAATGCTGGCGTCCGTCGTGGTTTAATTTTTGTGTGCATCACTTCACTGCTAGCAGAGGAGACAACTCGCGGACTACTCTTGTGATCATTGTTGTCTTGGGAGCAGCGTGTGCCTTATCAAGGCCTCTACGTTGAAACCAAAATCTGTCTACACCACCTTCACATCAGGTCAAATTCAATTGGCGTTGTACCTCTCGAGTTAAAATTAAAAGTCAATTTCTGCATTGTGCAGTTTCAATTAGTCTTTCAGGGGGCACTTTGTTACTTTAAACGGACTTCAAACCGAGTGAAGTGATTAGAAAATTAGAGTACTTGTTTCTGCAGTGTCCTTCAAGTGCTAATAATTTAAAATATAAGCCCGTTTATGTGGCATTATTATCATTTGCGCGAGGCGTCGAAGTCTTCACTTACCTCAGGTGAAATACAGGCTGCTATAAGTCGAGGCTGGTATGAACATGTCTGCCCAAATTCCGCCTTGTTGGGTTTTGAAAGCGTTCAAAGACTTGCACGCATTCACCGGAAGCCACAAGCTCAGATTGTGTCACTTCAACGAGGAGACGCTGAAGGCCACGTGCCGTCGGAGGTGCGGGTGACGAACCGAACGCGGCAATATATTCACTCCACCGTCTTGGTGGTACGCAATTCAGTGACGCCAAGCCCTCCAATTACGTCCAAACACACGCATGCACGCACACGAACAAGTCCATCAATCTTGTCTCCACCTAGGCTTCATACTTCATTAGTTGACGCTTCCGATCAGGGTCGAATTTAGTCGGATTGATTTGTACCGAGCGCTTTCATGCGGCGCCCACATTGAGAAATCCACAATTACCAAATCAGATTACGGCGACTAACTTCTAATGTCTCCGCTCTTACCACCACTTAGGTGCAACTGATTAAAGTCTACACAAATCAAATTGTCTTCATGTCTGCGATGAGCTGCTGCCATGGCAACCGTAATCAGTAGACGGTCATTCTTTCAGCTGATATTTGATTTCTTCAGTCTTCCTGAATAAACAACATTCCAAGTTGTTCAAAAAATGTAAATAGAAGCACTTTTCAAAGGTTCGTGTGGCTTTTTATATCGTGTTTCCCATTAAGTAATAACTGAACGTAGATAGCTATTCCTGTGGCTGGCAAGTCCCCCTGTTTGTCGACTACGTCGGAAAAATGGCGATATATCAAACCGAAGTTGTGTCAAATTTCTTGCCAAAACAAATTGGTTCTGACCACAAAAATACATTGAGAGCCCTGTCTGCAGTCAAACAAAACTTGCAAGTGATTTTGGCGTGTTCTGGAAGTGCTATGGCATCTACCAGCAGATATAATGCCTTATCGCTTAATCCGAAACTACGGTTTTCCTCGCTCTCACCGGAGACAACAATGAAACCCCGTTTGCTGCAACGATTCCTTTGCAGAATGGTGTCGCCTCGGTTGAGCCTTTCTTCTCCCGGCATCAAACCGATTACTCACGTGCTCCTGTCTTTACTGCCTTTTTCTTCTCCTTTCTGCGTAGCCTTGGCATATTAGTGACCGGAGTCACCCTCAATGTGGGTTTCGGTGCGGTGATCTTCACGTACGCGATCATGGTGGGCTATGGCATTGGCGCCTCCTACGGCCTCCTCCTCTCCGTGGCCGCTTCGGTAAGCTCCCTCACCCTCCGCCCTCTTTATTGATTATTTCTGAGTTGGGGTGTATAATCGCTGACGTGAGAGCGAATGGGATCCCAACAAGTCAATTAACTGCCGTCGATCAAGAGCTCAAATCTCTCAGGCCTCTTATCGATCGAGCATCCTCATAGGCTCAAAAGTGATTATCGATAAACTTAGGCAGCAAACCAAAAGTGTAGACCAAATGCCTGTTCACTTTTTTATGATGATCATGTCGAAGCTGTGTGGCAAAGTTTAGAATTCCTGCATACTGTGCCCTTTCTGCCTGTGGGCGTGTGAAGTAAACTGATTGGTGAACTTGTTAAACCCATTTGATGTCATAATGCCGATTTAAATTAACGTCTTAAACCTCGGGGCAGCGTATTGCGTTGGTGTTGAAATGTGAAACATATTTATTGTGGGGTGGCTTGCTGGAACAAGTTTGTTTCATCGGCTCCTCCCCCACGCACAGCAAATCCTCCTAATCACGTGTGTTCTCTTGATGTCACCCAGCTAGTGGAAGAGTATGTTTCAGGCCCCAGCATGTGGTCTTGAACCACGCCGGGGCCACGGAATTAACCCTGGCCCGATTACGTTTCCCCAGTTCCCGCGGTGAAGAAAAAGATATGAGAGGACGTGGACACAATCGTTTACTTCAGAGCTCAACCACGTTGGTGTCGTTGTGTCGTGTGTGGGGTTTGCGCGCGTGTATTTATACCTCGGATGTTTAAGTCATACATGCCCTAACATCGAGACTTAGATATGAGGATGATCCAAATATCTGTGTGAATGAGGAGGGAGTTGAGGATCCGCGCGACTGGCGACCTGCTGCGAAAAGGGGAACCTTGTGTCGGAGGATGGAGCGACCAGATTAAGGGGTGTGAATAAGCACGATTCACAACAAGTATTTGTGCCCACGTTGTCTTGACACTTCACCACTTGCTTTATCGACCTGTTCAAAAGGCATACATGAAACACGCATTCACGGTTGTGTAGGGTTAAAGCAAAAATCAGGTTACATTGCTCGCTCGTTGGCATCGCTGCAAGTCCCACTTTTCCAACTCAGAGACATTCTAGTGGTGAAAGTAAAACTCACTAACCCGTTTAAAGCAATAGACCATTTGTGAACATGTCCAGGTTACGACCTCTGTGCAACTCATTGAAGTGCTAGCTTGTTAGCAACGCTGCGAGCACCAACTTTCAAAACTCGACGTTTCAAAAGAAAAAGGACTTGTAGGAGCCTAAAGTAGCACTACCACAAAACCCTATGGATAACAACCGGTCACAACCCGAGAAGCGAGAATACAGAGTCGACAGGGAACACGACCGTTTAATTGCGTCACGCCAGTCAAGTCGAGTCGAGTGAAATCGAGCAAGTAACTTCTGTGTGCGTATCGATACGCGTGCGTTACAGGCCACTGCTAACAAAAAATCAATAACAAGGAGGGTGGCTTATTGGTACGGTTGTGCAAGCATAGACGCAGCACGCACGCGCGGTGGCTGTCTGTCCACTACAGTACGTTCACGAAAAAAATCGATTGATTTGTGTTCGCTCACGCTAGCAAGCTCCGTTCGCCCACGAATGCTGAGTGTGCTGACTTGCTGGTCGCCACAGACTATTGACATCATTTAACGGGTGTCTTCACAACCTAACGGACCTCTATTTAGTCCAATTTAAGCGGATACTCAGGGGAGAAAGCAATGTGGAACATTCTACAGACACCGTCACAGCAGGTTTTTAGCCAATGGCTAAAACGCTACTCAGAGGGACTGCTGCAGATGCTAGTATTTAGAGATTAAGCTCAAACATTTGTTCCGGCTTTTTTTTCTAGTGGTTTCCCAAACACCGCGGTCTGATAGTCGGTATCTGCGCGTGCGGGTTCGGAGCTGGTGCCATCATCCTCACGCCAATCCAGACCTACATTATAAACCCAGGCAATATCGCCGTGAATAACGTTACTCAGTGAGTTGTCGCCTTGCCCAGATAGCCAATCATCAGCTGCGCACATTTTCGGTGTACGGTTTCAATGACTCAGACATTAGGGCTCAAAATCGATTAATCGATTATTTCTGAGTTCTACAGCTGGTATCTCATACTAATGTAGCATACCCACGTAATTGTGCCACGAGTTTATGCCCTTAAATGAGTTTGAACAGCACTTGTTACTTGCGGTCTTAACTGTTTCAGTTAAGTCAGGTACTTCACAAACGCTCTGTAAAGATTTTTTGATCTGGACAATGATGCAAGTCGAGTAAAGCCAAAAGACGACAAGCAATCAATCTAAGGAATAGGGAACCGGAGAAGAACATGCTTAATACTATACGCATCACGGACAATTTACTAGATGGAATTTCGAGAATCGTGGAACTATGCCACATGTATCTTTCCTGTCGCAGAATGTTTGAGGACGAAGCAATGCTTGACCGAGTTCCCAAGTGCCTGTACATCATTGGCGGAATAATGGCGGGCTTTCAGCTGATTGGCTGCATCTTTGCGCACCCAAGGCCGGAAAAAAGTGTACGTTATTTAAATTGCGAAAAAATGGCCACTTATTAAGATATTCGCTGACAGTCAGTTAACTTCACTTTAGGATTCCGTTATCGAGGGCACCAGTGAGGAGACACCAGAGGATGTTTTGTAAGTTTTTTTATTGTAAAATGAAAATTTACATCTCCGTAAAGTTACCACCCTTTCAAAAGACCATTTCTATGGTTTCTTGTCTGATCTGGGGATTACCTGAATGGGCGATAACTGGCTTGCTGATTAGATATCAGCAGTTTCTCTGTTTGCCAATTTGTCTATCGAGAAGCTACGTTTCCATGTAATAGGGGCCGTCCGCAATTGAAGACAGTGGTTGCGCCCGACGAGGAGGTCAGCCTTACGCCATCGCAAGTCATGCGAGAAAGCAATATCTTCATCTTCTGGACCATTATGTTTCTCAGCTTGGTTCCTCTGACGCTCATCACGGCCTCATTGAAGGTTAGTCTGCTCTAACAGGTCCAAAACCCAATAGTTTAATATATTACACGTAAATCGAGCGTAGTTGAATATTGGTACAATTCGTTTTGGCATTAACTTGTAGGTGGTTGGTCAAATTTCGATTCCAGACGATAAGTACCTAAGTACGGTGAACACGATTGGAGCAGTCTTCAACACTCTCGCTCGGATTGCCTGGGGTCCAGTTGGTGATGTCTTCTCATACAAGGTAACTGATCTACCTGGTAGTTACAACCCCCTACCAGCCACCGTCTTTCTCTCGTGCAATTGTAAAAGCCATCATTACTTGCTTCCACTCGACTAGATGCCGCTCTGCTGTTTGAATGTGTTCTACGGTTTCATTCTTGTCACGCTGCCTTACATTCCGTCGATCCCAGGCGCTGGAAAACAACTCTACGCCATTTGGGTCATACTAACGTTTATCTGCATCGCGGGCAACTTTGTCCTACTGCCATTCGGCATTTCAAGGGCCTTCGGACACAAGTACTTCGCCGCCAACTACGGCATCGTTTTCAGCGCATTTGTAAGTCGCAGGCAAGCAATGGAGATTCTTTGATCTCTTCGACAAGTACCTAACCACGCCGTCTACAAATTGGGATAAATGTCACACTAGACTTCAAGAGGTTGACGTCTGACCTCGGAGTTTGTGATGGATTGGTTGGCCACTGGCGGTATTTTACTCACAGTCTGGTGCTCGTGCACCAGACCACTACATACTTAACAACAGACGGGTGAAGAGGCATTTGCATAAGCGGAGAAGCCTCCAGTTCGTTCATTTTGATGGTAGTGTCCAAGTGTACTTGTTTATAGTGTGTTTGCACGGCATGAGTGTGATTTCGAGCAAGCCCATATCTTTTCAGACACCCGGCAGCATCACTGGAGCCCTCATAGTTTACTTTGTGAAGCTGGAATACTGCTTGAAGGAGATATTCATCGCCTGCGGCATTATCTGCCTTTGCAGTAAGTTCTTGCACGGCTTATTGGCTACAACACAAGCACAACGTGTATCTTAGTGATAACACACACCATTAAAGTTGATGTTTGGATGACTTACTTGAACGATTTGAATGTGCAGTCTATGGCGATTGGTAGCAGCGGTTTCGCATACATTACAGAAATAAACTCTAAAAGCATTATTGAAAGTAAGTTTGAAGCCAGACATCAGGCATGTGGACAGTCAGTTTAATGCGTATTCTGGATCATTATTCACATATTAAGCCAAACACCAATTTACAGTGTTCGTTAACATAGTTGTTACGTTTTACCCACAACCCGATTTTATACACATTGAAGTGAATTAGCTAAGGCAATCGTGTGAAATGAGAAACGGTGTAGATAGAACAGGTACCAGTCTAGAATTCTCGAAGAGTTACGACTGAGTAGAAGGCGGTGGTATTTTACACTCAGCAGTTCTCTTTTTCCCCATAAAGGTGCCATCGCCGCGCTGTTCCTAACTGACAAACAGGCCCCGAAATGGTGTCAGGTTATCTCGTGTGATTGGCGGAAAAGGAATCAGGGAGACAGGCAGGCCGCCCATGATCGCTGATCTGTGGGTAATCACTTGAAATCTCAATGAAGTCTCAGTTTGTGCAAGTTTGGTAGATGACATTGGCCGTGTATTCGCTATGGTTGGTGGTATCGCTATCTTGTGTAAGCCTACCACTGCAAATCACACGACAGACCGACTTCCTTGTTGATTCCCTCCGTCCAAAGGCCAAACACATTCCGCCCAGAATTTGGACACTGTAACCTTACAGAAACGTTAATCGTCTACAAACTCTTGCGACACGCTAATTGGTTAATCTGTAGAGGCCTAAATTAGCACTACCGCAAAACCCTATGAATAAAAGCCGGTTACAACCCGTGGAGAGAGAAGACAAAGAGTCGACAGGGAACACGACCGTTTATTCGCGTCGCACCAGTCAAGTCCAGTTAAGTAAAATCGAGTAAGTAACTTCTGCGTGCTACAGGCGACTGCTAACAAGAGCCAATAACAAAGAGGGTGAGTCACTGATACAGTCGGGCAAGCATACACGCAGCACTCACGCGCGCAGTGGCTGTCTGTCCACAAAAGTGCATTCACGAAAAAAATCGATTGATTTGTGTTCGCTCACGCTTGCAAACTGCGTCCGATTACGAATGTTAACTGTGCTGGCTTGCTGCTCGCCACAAACCGAATTGACCAGGTTATAAATGCGAACTAGTTTTACCATGGCGTCTGGAACGCTTCACAACATAGAGGCTGAAAAATCAATAACTTTGTATTCAAAGCATTTTTACCATTTGCTCCCCTTTATTCGTTTCGTTTACTGAGTTTTTGAAAATAAATGGAAATTTTCATCTGGTGGATTCCACTCTAGAGTGATCGGAAGTATGCGCATAGTGCATGAGATTGGCGTTCGGTCTTTTTTTTTCAGGCAACCCACACTGCGAAAACGTTTGAACTCTGACACGTGGAACAGGACGCCCTACAACACTACTTACTTATTTCAATTCTTATTCTCCTCTTTGCACCAAATAACTTGTGATTGCACACTTCAGTATTGATTGATCATTTTGTATGGGTTGAACAAAGTGGAAACGCGCTTGTACAACTTTCGACGAAGTACTTTGATTTCGATAAAGCCTCGCCAGAAGGCGGCTTTTAATGTTGCTTTTCTACACTTATTACTATGACACAAAACCTTCATTAGAGACGCGGTTGTACACTGGAGTTCCACTGATTTGGAATAGATAGCTCTTCCGGTGGGGATCGAGCATTTCCCAAGATGGGATAGTATTTTCGTCATTGATTGCACAATAGTGGATGAGTCATCCAAGGCGTCTTACTGGTAGCTCCATCTGTCTCGATCAGTCAGGTTAAGGTCATCCTGTACTTGTGCAAGTGAACACCTTCTGACGGGTAACTCGGTGTTTGGCTAGGACATTAAATTTGACTTACACACCGATGGGAAAGTGGGGTTTAGCGCCAGACAGGGATCTGGGGTACCGGTTACCTAAGTGTGTGGTTCTATTTACGGGCGAAAGTAACATCTTATCGTTGGGGTTTCCAAACACAGACACACGTCGAAGGATATCACCTCAAGCAACGCGCCTTGTCACTTAGCCATTCTGAAATGCCAATAACCACGTCAGGCAGCACGCATTCCAGAGCGGTTGCCGTTTCGGCAAACAGGGTGAAGATGACTTAGTACATGGTTGAGCCCCATTCAGTACCACCTGCATTTGCAGTGAATCGTGCTGATTCACGTCCAGTAACGCGGTCGTCGCAGCCTCGCCCCCCTTTTCGCGGTGTGCCCGCCAATCACGCCCACTCACCCCTCCGCAAGTACCACCACCACTATCCGCAATATCCACGTGACCACTCAGACGTCTGTATTTTTACTAGACCACTCAATCGTATCACCCAACAAAACCATTTGGGTCATGCGCTATCTTTAATACACGCACACACACACGACACACGCCATCGAGTGAGCTGATGGGTGGTATCAGGTTAGATTCAACGCAGTCGGTCCACTCAACACCTACGAGGAAAACAAGGCACGTGGAAGTTTAGAGTTGTACAAGCGCGTGTATTCGTGTTCGTCCATTCTCCAATCCTCAGTCGTAAAGACGACGGGTTAGAGAAAACAAAACAAAACAATCAGGGCAGGGGGTTGGGGGGTGGAAGGGAAACCCAGAAAGAGGCAATTTCTACAGTCACGCAAACAACAAACAACCAGACCATCCTTAGATAATATAACCGAGTGAGTTGTCAGCAAGTAAGGACTGGGGTGTGTTGAACGAGAAGAGAAGAGGAAGAAAGGAGACGAAGGTAGATGAATCTATAAAAATAGCAGCGTTTTAACACGGAGAGAGACGACCAGGGGTCGGGTAAGTGGGCGGGCGGGGGGCTAAGCAAACACGCGCGCACATAATACGACAAGGGGATATTAACTAATGCCTGTCTGAGGGTAGGTGGATGCAGTACTTATCGAAAGTTGGCACAGTTGTGCGGACGAGAAGAACGGGTCGGGGAGGGGGGGGAGGGGCGAAACTGCATGAGGGCGCCTTGAAAGTTCGAGAGTGGTCGTGAAAGGGCTAAATAGTGGCACGGCTGGCCAATCAACGGCGGTAGGTAGTGGTGTAGTTTTGATTGATGTAGTTGATTAGGCTGGAGCTAGGCTGATTCGGCTCCAATTGGCACATTACGTAGACTGCGTGCTCAGTCATGGTGAAGCGCGTCTTCTTCACAACGATCGCGAAAATCCTATTGGTAGAAAGAGGAATGCAATACAGTCAAGTGCTCCTGTGGTGGAGGTGGTGGCGGCAACGTTTTCCTTTGGCGCGTGGCCAATAATATGACACGAAAGTGCCGAACGAGCGGAAAAAAGGTGTAACTTACTGAGAGTCCGCAACTCCGTGATTTTTCAATTCAACTCCGTTAAACCTAAAAAAATCCACAACACCTGAGTGTAAAGCATTCCTGCTACTGATAAAACCTAAGTAGACAGGCTAACTTACACTCGTTCATCAGGATCATAGGCACAGTAGAGGATTTTGTTGGCGGGGATCGTCTTTTTGGTGAATCGTGCGCTGTTTTTGTCGAAAATGGTGAGGCCCTTATCGCTGGCACAGTGGACGGTGGCTTCGCACTTCTTCTTCAATCCCTTGTGCGGGTTGTTTGCCTGTGAGAGAATCTGCTCCACGGCGCGTCTGACGGCTGAGTCGCCCTGCAGGGGAAAGACATCGACACTCCCGAGGTAGAGGACGTCGCAGACTGAAATGACACAATAGTTGCCGTTCGTTAAGCATAAAACAATGGGTACTTAAAGTAAAACAGTAGTACATCCAAAAATGAGGAATTTTTATCAAGAGACATTGTGGAGCTGGGGTGGGTTATGGGAGAACATGAATGGGGTTTCAACTTCCCTTTTCCCAGAACAAAAAAACTGCGATACAAGACAACTAGGAGTTAATCTTTTCGCGTTTAAGCGCTTGATTAGGGAAACGGGAGGAATTCGCGAGCGCTCGTTTCAGTGAAGTTGGAACTAATGTCTATTTGCAGTACCATCTGCAATACCACAATTAAGTATACGCAGGAATTCCTCTGACATGGCGGTAGGTTTCAGTCAATGACCTCTGCGATACTAAATTACCGCGAACCTCTCATTCTTTTTGATTTATTGATTTGTTAATATTGCATTTAACTACTGTTAGGTTGGATAAATGCGATTTCAGCAATCATGAGAAGGCATCATTGATCCGAACAAAAGCTTCAACAGAAACAACAACTCGTCTTATATATAGACATTAACTCGCGGCAATCGAATATGACATTAAATCAGCGTTATCCAATCAAATGTCAGTCCATGAGTTGTGTTCAGTTTTGATTTAACCAATGGCTTGAGCCCAAATAACACCTGTACCCATGTCGACACAAATCATCCTACAACTTGACAACAACTCTACACAACCGGAACTGACATAAAATCAATGTAATCCAATCACATGTTAGTCCGTGAGTTGAGTTCAATTGTGATTTAAACAATGACTTGAACACAATTCATCCTACACATTCACAACAATTGTCTGAGAGATCACGGTATCTCAAAACACTTTTAAAATTATCCATGTCAAACCCAAGTCCTGGTAACCACCTTAGACACGTTAATTTCGCACGAATTGAAAGGTACCGATAACGGTTATTTAAGTGAGGAAACTATACCGAAATCAGGCACAAGTGTCCCGTCCCTGCGCGCGGGCGACGGACTGTGTCCGGCGAGGTAGCTGCTGGAAAGAGCTCCACGCATCGGCAACTTGAGGAGAACCGGAAGGGCTCCCTGGTGGATGGTGTGGTCGTGGACGAAAGCCGACAACGACGGGAAGATGGGCTCTAATTCGAAACCCTGCAGGTGAACAGCATCACCGCCCTTTACCCGGTTCAGCAAGAAGGTCCTCACCGGCTCTGCGTCATCTGGTTGGAAAAAACGACGATACTACTAACTGTCTGCAGTAGGTAGTGACAAGAAGTGGGTGGATGAGTGCTTACCCAGTGACACAGGCACTCGGACAACGAGGGCATAGGAGTTCGGCTGAGATTTGCTTTGACGAATTATGAAACGACCGGGCTCCTTGTTAATGAGCATTTGGTGCGCTTCAATGAAGAAGTGTGCAAATTAAAAACTTGCAAACAATTGAGCGCTTTGTCGAGGCTACAACTCACCTTCATCGCGAGTAGTGTGCGGTCGGAACCACTGATGTGAGAGCTCATTGGTGTGTGACAGGGTGTGACGACTGTCGATCGTGTCGACAGCCAGGTGGTTGGTTTGCGCAGGACCTGCTGTCAAACTTCCACCGTGAAGACTACCAAGCGAAGACCCTAGGCCTGGAAAGCAACAGAACAATGTTTTACTGCATGTTGGGTGTTTCCATAGACACACACACACAGACAAAACACATTAAGTGCTGAGGGTAGATCTACAGGATTGTCAACAAAGGCATCAGAAATGCTCAGCTAGTCCCGACGACATGCTGAACGCAACTCTCATGGCGAATCGCTTTGGTTATATGGACGCGTTTGAGCAAGCATACCGTGTGTACTTCAGCGAATCAGGGATACATACACGACATTGTGAGGACACAGACACATTACAAATGAGTTGAGTATAAGGTATGAGTTAATTGTTGGCTATACAATGGTTTTGAAATTAGCTGGGTAAGGCTGACCCTCAAATCAACCAATCAGGAATCGAAGAGCACACGTCAAGCAATCACTATAAACTAGCCATCGTCAGGTCCGCCTGGAAGCATAACTCACCATTAACATTGCACCAGTGGGACTCATTGTGAACCATCCTTGAACGATGCTCTGACACCATGCGTCCTCCAGGCTGTCGTGGAGGTACTCTATTGGGAAAAAACAGCAATTTAGTCGCTTAGTTCGGATGCATGCGAAACACTTTCAATTTAAATGACAAGGTACGTAAGACGCCGGTGCAGTCAAGATTGCTATTTTTAGCTAACAGGCGTGTGTGTGTGTGATTTAAAACGGAATACATTCAGACGCCAGATCGACACAAGTGCCAACGAAAAGAAGGGCCTCAATCACACATAACTTAAGCACGCCTGGCTCAGAATATGTGCTCGCGAAAGCAGCTATGGGTCAACTCTCGACTGCCTATCACATGTCGCCTTCCCGCACATGCTTCGACGCACAAAACGAGAGGCAGTCTGCAACCGTCTTCCATGGACATCCAGGTAATGTTGCTGACGTCCCATCGTCTACCACATTCGTCAACTGATCCGAGACACAGTGGTCCAGCAGAGAATCGGCAACTCTGCCTTCAACTAGTGAACACAGTGGAATTGTGCTTTTGCTGTTGCCAGCACACGTGGGCAGTGTGCGTGTGTGTGGGAGGGTGTGTTTTGATCAGCTTTCACGTGGAGCGTTTATGCTAATGAGGAGCACGGCTACTGTCGGACCGAGCGGCAACAAAGGCATTCCTAGTCCTTCTCAGACACTCGATGCTTGCGTCAACCACGTGCAAAGTAACGTTGCCGTGAACAAGGACTCGCCGTGTGAATTTGCATGAATTAGCTGAACTAACCAGTGTGTGATCTACACTGGCTACCTGGGACCCACACTGTTGTCAAAATTTGCCGAAATTATCTAAGCATCGCAGCGTCGGGATTCCTGCACTGCCTTGGGAAACCGAAAAGATTGGAGCAGAATAGCAGGTGCAGAAAAATCCCCGACACTAGTGTTTTCGCTAACCCACTCACAGACCACTAAGGCGGTTACAGTCATAAAAATGCGGGAAGGAAGAAGGAACGGAGTGGAAGTAACTGAAACCACTCAATAAAGGTGTCAGACTTCCGTAATAATAAATGACGGGTCACGTGCTTCCATTAAATCCACGCACAAACACGATATGCGTCCCACGATCCTCCGACTCAAAGCTAATCAGTAATTACATTTTTGTTATCATGTCATGTCTTGGTGAATCAAAGACGGCGAGTAATTTCCATTTAGACGATATTTCAAAACGCCACTTGGAGACATTGGGCATCCAAATGCGTAAGCATATTGTCTTATTTCATGAGAAAAAAGTAGGTATCTGTCGGGGCATCTAGCTGGCAACTTCTAGAACCGCCTCACTTAATTTATTGTTCTCATGGGTGTGCCAAAGTTGGCTTCATGAGAACATTTTAATGCTGTGCCAATCAAGGAGTCCATAAACGTCAGTGGCGGCACACACACACCGCGATTGAACCAATCAGGATTAAGTGCCAAAGCACCAGGCTCAAGGTCAAGCACTGAGCCAAGCGTGGGCTCGACATGTTTACGCCGGCGTTGTGATTGATGAGGTCTTCCATCTAGACCGACAGAAGCGTGTCTTAATTTGCGTGCTACAAGGCAGTCACGTGGTTAAAGCGCCCTCAAAACTCACTGGCCGGCTCAGGCCAACCGGTACACGTCATTCTGGCGCGTTAATAGAATTAAAATGTGAGTAAATGATTCGCTGATTTGTGGCTTTGCTACGTGGTGGATTGCGCTGATTCGAGTCCATTAATCCAGTCGACGCAGTCTCCGCCACACTGACCTCTTACTCACTGCAGCCTTATCGATCATACAAAACTGTCTGTGCATACACCCCCAAGCGTGTACCACCTCCACGCAACGTGTCTCATTGATCTGACCGTCCAGACGGTTTTGATCGACGGCCCCTATTTGGTCGGACACGTTTCTTATGTGCAGTGGCGCGACTAACACAAACAGGTTGAGCTGTCTAGTGCGTTGTTGTATTTTTGCTGGGGTAGATAACCATTAGAACGGGTCAAATATCGACGCACACACACACACCAAAAAACCAACCTGTCGGCTTCAACTAAACATGGCAGTGACATCTCTAACAGACTCGAGGTATTGTGAATGCCGTGGTGAGGTCGAACAGTATAGGATGCCAGCATGAAAGAAAACACTACAAAACTAGCTTACGGTGACTGTGTTCCTGAATAGTACTGTCCGCGATTGTCGCCACCAGCGGAGAACGATCTGGCTACAAAAAAAGAAGTGAAGAAAGGCGAATTAGTGAAGCCGCCAGGACAGTGTCGTCGGCGGCAAGGATCACACCCGTGTTAGTTCATTGGTTAGAACGCGAGTGCGCGCACGAGCCAGAGTTAGCTTATTGATCCGCGTACTGAATTTCTCACGGCCTTGTGGCGCCGCCGGCTGGTACCGCGTCACGGAAGCAAGAGCTGACCTAAGCGGCTGTCGTGGTGTGGTGTTTTGTTGTTGGTGCAAGAAACTGTGTGTTCGGGCAGTGGGATGGTCAGTCACTGGTGAGGCTACAGCAACGGTTACAGCCGGTGGACTGAACACGTTGGATCCGATCGAGTACTTACTCACTGTGGACATTCTGTCGGCATCAACTGGAGTGTGGGGAAAGAGGCAGATAGAAAAAACATCGAATTTAAAGCATCTACTGCCAAATCCCAACTACGCCTCACTGCACGCTCTAGGCAAACTTTTCAGGATTGACGTCTGGGAAAGAGCGTGTGTGCCATGCTGGCTTTCTATACCTTCAGGCTCCCTTCACGTTCTGAGCTGAACAGTTAACTTGTGTTAAATCAAAACCAGATGAATTCGACACCAGGAACAGGCCTTCGACATAGGTATGCAACGTACGTAGCGTGTTGCTTCCATGCTTTACTCAGCACACCAATGAGGCCTACTTATCACGAGCACTGTGAAGGCCATATTTGTGTGTTTGTGACGTCAAAATTTGGCTCGGCTTTCCACCGATAGAAAGCTAGCTGGTAGTAAATAACATTTCAAACAGACGGTGCATTCCGGTTGTCAGGCGTAGAGAAAAAAGTAAAGACGATTAGTAGGGTGCCGGAACCACACAATAAGTGGGGATACGTTTTTGGCGAAGTAAAAAACGACTGTCAGCTAGGTCGATATTTCAATAATAAAGTGATAAACACAAAAGCCTGGCTACAAAAGAGAGATCTTATGACGTTGTTTAATGAAAGGGAGACTCGACTGAAATTTCCCCGTGTTTGATTAGTTAATTTCGAGGCGAAACGACTAGAATTAAGTAAATAGCTGGGCTTGTCCCGATTATTGTCGATTACAAGTCCCAATCAACTGATGATTGAGGAGGTCAAAGTTTTGATGACCTGAGCAACTAAAATCGGTGCCTTTTACTACTAAGATATGTCAAATCATCAGACCTCAGAAACTGGCTCCTTCGGCTTCCAAAAAAGCTGTATTTTACATTGAGAATTTGCTCTTGGGAAGAATAAATTGCAAGAAATTGACTACTGGCGTCCACAGTATATGAATTGTTTGTAAACACTGAAAGGTTATGCCCAGACACGCAACCAATCGCCTCCCGTTCAATCCACACAGAAGACAATGTCTAATAACATCCACACCGCCCCCTGTCTGTGCATGTACCTCCCCTTCTACCAGTCCAACCAAACCGCATTGGTCAATAACAAGAGTAGACACGCACGACGACACAACTGGGGCGTCGTCACCACCTCCAAGCTAGCTTTTTTGGAGTGTAGCTCGAGACTACATGCCGAGGTGTTCAGCAGACTCAAGTGGACCAGCGACTGACCTGCTGTGTGCGAACCGACACGCGGCAGCGTGGCGGGATTCGATCCAGCTTCGAGGTCCTGAATGCCGCGTCCAATGGGTTGTAGAGATACGGTCTCCTGGTAGATCTCGCCGTAACCCGTCTCGGACATCCGTCTAGACGACCTTAGGTGCTGCGTGGGAAAGAGGTTTCGGTTAAAATGTTGATAAAAATGTAGACTAAAAAGGCTTGTTAGGCGTTAGCGCCAATAGGCCATCTTTGCGCAGTTGTCCCCAACTGTGGATTTGCCCTTTCAAAAAGTACACAACGTGTTTGCTAAATTATTGATTTCTTGTAATGATTTGCACCAAAATCGTTGCCAGTGCCTTCCTGGCAAACGATTGGGGCCTAAGTGGATTAACAACGCGACCAAGCAGCATGAGAAGAGGGTTAGAGCAGAGTAAGAGCGCTGCATGATTAGGATGTACACACTGTGGACTGTCGCGCAAGTAGGCTTGTTGGCCGCGGGGGTGATGCTGGATGCTTGGCCTGGATACAAAATAGACCGTGTGTGATTCAGTCGCTTGTGTTTGCTAAATGCTCTTGTATCATCCATTCTAGCATACTAAAAACTGCTTCTCCCCTTGATACATCAACAAGTCTAAATCCGGAGTGGTATCAATGTGGTGCTCGAAACTAAGGCATTTTTACGTGGTTACATCAACCACTTGGGCCTGGTCGAATTAGCTGGACAAAAGCCACTGACAGGGTAACTGCCATGGGTCGCAGTTCGGAACTAGGAGCCACTTGGTGTGAATAAGCTCGAGACCTTGTGATCGATTAGTCAAATTTGCGCGAGAGGGCAGCCCAACCCTTCAGTCTGGGACTGCCTCCGCCTACCATGAAAATCGATTCCGAGCACCCTTTTATCGATTATTGCAAAGAACACAAGAGAGACAATACCTCGGCTTGTTGATTCAATTCGTTCCGTCGACGGAGATTCTCCTGATGTGCTGAATAGGTTCCATAAATCGGTGGCTGCTTCAAGTAGGAACCGGTTCTGAGGTTGTTTTCTAGTTGAGAAGCACAAAAATCAAAAGCGACCATGGATCTTTTAAAATTCCAACTGCCTGCCAAATCATACTCATCTTTCTCACCTTGGGATTCAACTGATCATCTTAACTCGCTACTTCCGAGTCATAAAATATCAAATGTGCCCAGAGGTGCTCGGCCTAGCGCAAACAAACGCTTTACACAGCTGTTTCAGAAAACTATTTGTACTTGCATTTGACAGTCGAACGTATTTGGAATTATCGTACTCGTGCACTTACCAGAACTCCAGTGATTTCGCAGCGTATTTGAGTGATGTTGAATGTTGGTTTGGCTAAACGTTCGTGGTGGTGGACCTAGAAGAAGAAGAAGAAGATTATATTACTAGCGGCGAAAATTAGTAGATAACACAGGCAAACACCACTGAACGATGCAAGACCACACTCGAAAATGCAGCATTCGTAAATAAGGGTTGCAGCATGCCAGCTGAATTCAACGCGCTAAAACAGGAAAGTTGGATTCATTAAGGCACGACAAATTAACCCGGGATGCTGCCAATTTGTCAAAGTTCACTTTTTTTCATTTAAAAAAACCAATGATACCACTGCAATCTGCACATCATGGGTTATCGCGAACGACTCAAACTTAAATCACAATAAACTGGTTCGAGTTTGCCTTGTTCCTGCCCACTGCTACTGTGAGCTGCATCAGTAGCCATGACACTCAAGGGTTATTGAAAGGTAACCAATGAAGACTAGTCAATGAGAACAAATGCTGGGAGACCCATATACTTTTCTGAGTCTATTGAAGTCTCCCTGGTTATACAAAATATCGCGATGAGAGTGGTTCTTGAGAAGGACGGGGAACAAGTTTGCAACTATGAGAGCACAAGCCGACCTAGTGAGAGGGAGCTGTACATAGGTCCAAAGGTAGTTGTTCACTTCTTCTCGGAGTTGGTAAAGCAAATTAGCCAGCACATACTACTCATAGGATTAGAGAGAACTCACCCATCAACGAGCGGGAGAGAGCCGAGTTCCTGGCAAACGGTCTCGCGGTGTCGTTGACGACGCTGTAGAGACGCGAAGTGTGCGCTGGGATGGCGAGTTTGCGAGGGGCGTCGTCTTCTGTGGACACAAAAAACGAAACCATTCGTGAGACAGTGGAGGGGGGATGAGGGGTAAAAGTACAGCGTCAGACGAGGAGGTACTCTTGTGTTAATAGGAAGCCCGCAGCAGGCAGCTCAGGTAGTCATTCAGCAATGAAGCGTTTACCAAATTGGTGTGTTCGATCACTCAAGGCGTGAAGTAAATCTTTATTATCACTTGTGATTATCAAGAGTGGGTGTGATGTGGATTCGTTTTTCTTATGAAGTCTTGTAATACTTGATCAGCACAACAGGAATTGTGAGTGCAAGTGATGCGTAGCCGATTTCTTTGTGTTCCAAGTAAAACACCGCTAACGTTTTTTTTATATACTTAAATGAACCGATTCAAACGGTCCGATCACAAGTTTAGGGCAGAGTTTGTAAGCCGTGAAGAGATTCTCAAGAAGTCGCGATGTGCGCCCTCAAAAGACTGGATTCAGTGCAGCACAGCTTCCTGAAACCACTCTGGAATTTGAGTTAAAGTATCGCCTTGATTAAAGTGTGCAGCAATCAAGAAATTGTTTTGTTTTTTGCCTTGTTAGGACAATAACATCATAGCACATCCAGGAACACACAAACAACGGTGCTACATCGAAGGTAAGTGCAGCGAAGCAAACGCTTTGTGTGTTGGTGCGACTGACTACCTCTCTTCGACCAATGAGACCGCGTGGAATGTTGGAAATGCGTCACCTGAGCATTTCCATTAAAGCCAGATCGATGGGTGTTCATGTAGTCAGAAAGATTGATCGTAGTCGAGGTGGGGTAGGCTGGTTTCGGTGGACCAGGCGACCAGACTGCTTTAAGGAAGGCAGAATTTACTTGTGTGAAGGCGAGTGTGAGGGTGATGCTCTACTACACGTAAAATGCCATTCCGAGGTTTGTCAGGACCACAACTCAATCCTACAACCAAGACTCTGAACCAGTCGTGCGTGAATCCTTCTAATACTGAAGGGTATCAGCCAGGAATATGCGGTGTGATCCATAGAGAAGGTCCTTCAATTGGAATACCTCTGGTAGGTGAAAATGAGCGAAATACCGAGTGACTTCGGGAATACCACCCAGAAGGTGCGCCCTACGTGCGTGTATATCTCCATTAGGAGATACAGGGCTGACAAAGCTCATTTAATTCACTTGAGCTGCTTTAAGGCCAAAACCATCACACCCTTCTTTTATGGTGACGAAAGATAAGCTAAAGTACCCATCCACAGTTGTACTTCGCCTCACAGCGAGGCAATTGTAGTTAGTAGGGCCATCTGAAGACGCAATTTCCCAAACAAGGAAGAGGTAATATATCAAATCTAAGCCCGTTTCAAGAGAATATGCTGTTAAACCTGTACTCAATTACATTTTTGTGAATCCTAACATAGAAGGAACTAGAGTTATACATTCACATTTAGAAATTTGTTTTGATAGCGGTTCAGTGGTTTCTAAAACCGCCTAGGCATTTGTAAAAAAGTGAAACACATGCCTGGGGAGATATACACCCCACATAGAAATTGTGTATATGTGTGTTTAAATGAACCCAGATCACGAACACACGCACATACTCACACCCACCGCCAGAAAGAGGAAATGAATGAGAACAGGAGCACTTACGCATTGAACCCTCGTTGCGACTCTGATTCCTCCCTAAAACGGTCGAAGCTGTTCGCCGAACTGACAAAGAAGAGGACAGAGATAAATTGTCAGAAGAAAATCCGAAAGTCTGCAAGCACGTTTTTTGCTACTTTACAATGCAATATCTTAAAAACCTCGGTGTGAGAGGGTACGAGTCACAGGAAGGCGTAATTTTGCAACAGTTGTATCGCTTCCTCTCGCGGTTGCTTCGCTACCCATCACACAGTCCTAGAAACTGGTGACCACGGTAGCCGTCGCAGGTGAACATTTCTTGTGGCTCTGGCTACTCTTTATGCTTTAGTTGAGAGAAAAAGTTATTCCTTGTCTGCATTATTGTAAGAGACCGCCACGACAGGTCATAAACGCAAATTGGCAACTCACCATCTTCCGAAACGGTGTCTTCGCGTATGGCAAGTGGACTTTGTGGTATCCGTTCTAGACAATCAACCAAAACAACTTTCTAGTGTAAATGCATGCAATATCAAACAGACAATAGCGTAAATTAACTTCAATAACACATATCACCGTTTCTGTGTACATGTATAGACGGGTTCCGTTTAAACAGGCTTAGAACAGGCGCTAACGTCCGTTGGACAATAGAGCACTATTGCATGAATACGCCAAGTAACAGGAGTAAACGATAAGTTTGGTGTAAAAATACGTGTGAACCAGGATCTCTAGATGGCATTAATGGACCTTAAGGCATACTCGAGATTATCACAACAGGTAGCCGAAAATTCGGGCTGACTGTAACCCTTTAGTTCATTTACCCAGGAGACTCGATGCTTAAACAGAGCTGTGAACGTAGATGAGGCTTTTGAATGCTGCAAATACTTGCAAACATGCGTGTAACTCTGTTCTAGTTGTTCGACGTCAATACCTACTTCAAATAAACCGATGCCCTTGGTCATATTAGTCCGATGTCCATATTGGGAAGCAGCTACGGCGATGTGTAAACAAAAATCGACTTCAAACTCACTTCTCCTGATAGTGCGTCGCCGGATAATCGTCTCAGTGTTGTCGTCCTCCTTCAGAACCTCCTCTGTGGTAATGATATCGCCGCCGGTCTTCTGCACCCTCGTAGGTGATCGAATAATCCGGACAGAGTTGGAGTTGGTTTTTGTGGTAGGAGGCGAGAGCGGCGGAAGGTGCTGGAGATGACCGTTTAGGAGGGGGGTTGTGTTGTTAGGAGACGTGGCTGTGGGTCTGACGGGGAAACGGCGTATCGATCCAGTCTCTCGGACGCTCTCCTCTCGACGGGACCACTCGGTGCGAGAGATGTCATCGGTGCCAGTGTCGAAACGTCGAGAAGTCTCGCGAGTTAAGACCGGCGGAGGGGCAACTTGGGAGTCACGATAAAACGGCGACTGGACTGGTAGAAGGTGGGTAGTGTTGGTTTCGTTTGCACAAAAGGTCGAACTGTTGGGGGAGGAGATGCGATTGAAGGCGGTTGAGGAGAAACAGGATTCACCCGCACCATCTGAGACAGATGACGAAGACAAAAAGACTTTTACGCAAGATGCTTACAAATTTCGTTTGCGATTTGAGGAAAATCTGAGCCAAATAGTGGTCTTCGAACACTATTCAGCACCCAAGACAATGAGTGGAAGAGTATCGCCTCGGCTAACCTGGTATTACCAAGCGTTACTAAACGATGGACGAGCTGCGGGTCTTTATAAACCTCACTAACTAGAAATTCATTTAAATAAAATCAAATGAAGTTTAATCCGAAGAATGGTAATGTGGGCTATTATCAACGAGACATTTGATTGGACCTTGGATTAGGCAAACACGTGACTAATAATCAGCTAAGAATCACGCAGATTAATTTGACATGAATGCAGGCAGTAAAAAGGTAGCTAACACTTTTTGCAAGCATTTTTTTTCTTCGTTTAATTAAACGAAATTAACATCAAGGTGGTTAAAATGAACGCATACACGCTTTGCTGTGAGGCGGATCCAATTGGCTAGCATATGACCAATCAGCCTACTTCATTTCGCAAATCTTATTGGTTCAAGGACTACAAAGTACTTCTCGTGGTTACTCCGCTACTTCGAGCGCACGACTTCTGTAATTTAGTGTAGCTGCGCCGCTTAGCGCCAAGTGCGGTGATAGAAGTCAACGCATAACTTCAAACACAACTGTATTTGGCAAATCACCACGCATACCCTGAGCAATCGACTAATGAGGAGGGTTACGATGAGACTCTCCTTCTCACATGACTCAATGTTGACTTTGGCGCGTACACACACACACAGACATGAAATTATCAATCCACACACATTAACGCTCGTGCGCTGATAGCTATTTTTGAGTGACTTGGATTGAGTGTGACTACTTTTGCAATACACAAGCACCCAGCAGGGCACGTGTACCATAAAAGTAGGAAGAATTGTTGACAAATGGACCAGTCAAATTATTGCCATGGCTGCTATATTTCGGTTCGCGCTTGGATTGCCTCTTTACAATTCACCGTGGAGTTATACATTTGTTGAATGACAGGTTATTCAATTTTGTGGGTGACATTTCACCTTCACAATAGTGGAAGTTTCAAGTTTGGGCCTAACGGCCTACTCACGTGGTTTTCGGCATTCATGCACGTGCATCCAACTAGCCCAGTAACTTTTTTTTTAATTTTCAGTGATTTTCTAGGTGTGTCAGCCAAATATAGTTGACTAGAATCTACCAATGAGACTGCGGGACAGGAGTTGGAGCAATCGAAGACGCTCATGTTATGAACTCGCTTAACAGCGTTTCGTGTTGCCAGACGACCACTTCGAAATCAGTTAATTAAAATGAAACTTTTGCCACAGAGACAACGGATACTGTCGTTCTAAGCTGAACACAAAGGTTCTATCAACTGGTTTCTATAGAAATGATAATAAAGATACCAGATGTTATCCTGTCTGTAGTCTTTGCCTGGAAATTCATGATTCCCCGAGAATCCTTAACACAGGTTAGATTTTGCATCACGTAGAATTAGCGCAATGCAATGTGAACGCAAATAATTAGGGAATTCAAAAACCAGCTTGCCTAAATGATCATTTTCCCGTTGACTTTATAGGTGTGATCTGTGTGGATACAAAATTAAATAATCGTGCAAACTAGAAGTGCTGATTATGTGATCAGCGGCATCACAATACTTTGAAATCTTCTGTTTATGAAGGAATTAAGGTGGTACCCATCTCGTAGCGTAGTAAATTCATGTACATCTATAACCCTGCAATGCATGAAACCTTTGTGGATGGTTTTTAGCATAAAAGTAGCCGTTGAACCGCAAAACTTCGTCGATCACAGTCGTCGATTTGTTGAACTGTCAGGCCAGTTACTACATAGCACACAGCTCCTTTGTGTAAATTGGTCCAGGCTTGTATAAACTGCCTTCAGTCCGCTGTTTCATAATGCCGATTGTGAAGAGATTCGAATGATTGAATCTTGCTTACAGAATTATTGATGACAGTGACTCATGCCTATTTTGCATTGGTTACTGTAATCACTCGCCTCTGGCACATGCTCACTCATTCACACACACACACACACACACAAAACACCCTTGGCTGGCGCGACGCTAATAAATGGTCGTGTTCACTGTGACCAGTCTTATCGCCATTCTCGGGTTGTTGCGGGCTGTTAACTAGCAAGGTTGTAAGATAGTGCTACCAAAACAACTCGTTGAAGCAACAACTATTTTAGACTAAAATTGAGTGGACTTGTCGCATTGGATTGACCAACTTTCACAGACTACGATCGAACCAAACTTGATTTGTTTCACGGCCACTGGAACATCCAGGTCGAAAAATGATTTTCAACAGTTTAGATGGAATGAAGGAAAAAGACCATATATCCCCTGTCAGTACAGCTTGACGTACGAGGAAATCGCGTGGGAAATTTCGTAAAATGGCCTTGACTGTTTTAACTGCGGAATTGCAGCTAAGAGCTATGCGACTCGCAGTTTTACGAAACCTTTAGGATTGCAAACGAATAGTACGACTTTACAGTGCTTTTCGTAACCATCAAGGCGACTTATGAAAGAATTAACGAATTCGCATGACGTCAAGAGATTCAGGAGCGGTTCATCTACTTTAAACAGCAGTAACCAATCGGAATGCAGCACGTTGATGCCAAGACGAGTCATTTGAAATGCAGAGGAATGGGTTTTTTAGCCATTTTACAATGTAAGGAAGCAATCAATTCATAAAGCAGGTTACGCTATGAGTTAGGAAACAGCAGGGGCGTTCAAATATGTCCCTGTACACCGGCAATCATTTAAACTGTAAATTTATGAGGCCAACAAGAATGGAATTTGATAGCTTGAAAAACGCACATCAAAATTACGAAATCACACATTTGAGATCACGAAAATGGTCAGAGGAGTCGCTTGATGCACCCTTGCAAACGTAACTCTGTAACCTGTTAAGACGCGCAATCTGCAGCAACGTGCTCAGGCACGAAGCATCCTAATCACACCAAAGTGTGACTAATTAACCTGTCTTCCGTCATATCTCAACACCAAGTGTGCAAACCACAAATCGATGCTCCCTTACCAATTAAAAACCTACATTCAAGGTCAAATTTAACCCAAAATAATCGAATGAGAAATTAAAACATGATTTGCTACTCTGGATCTTGAAAATTGCCCACAAGTGCGCTTGCACCGGCAAATATGTTAATTGTGGAAGTGGTAGTTACTGACATTCACGATAAGGTAATGAAACCAGGAATGAGGCATTTAAACAGACATCTGGGAGGGCCGAAAACTCGTGATTGGCTGGAAGTGTGAGGGTAAGTGTGTCGTGGAACATGCTCCATCTAAATCGCATGATGGGCCCCGGGAATCGAGGTTTGGCTAACAAGTTTTAACCACAATAACAATTTGAGCCACTATGACTACAGTCTTAAGCTTGAAAAACTTGGCCTGAACTATCGATTAAATCTATAAATTTTGGAAAGAAAAAAGATTTTCCGAGTACCTCAATAAATCACACTTTAAGACAAAACTCTCCAGTGTAGTCATTTGTGTGTGTGATTTTTTTCACTCCTGAAAAAGTAGATAATAGGAGTAACGTACACGTCTGTCGATGAAAATCCACCAAAATTAATCTCACGTTGTGTGAATTGACACAGCTCACAATTTTCTCAGACAGTCGTATCCAATTACTCGCCTCACCGGCATGAAAAACAGAGCACTAAGGTAGGACATCTAGTAGGGGTACACTTACTAGACAAGGAGAAGCTCTTTGGTGAGGTGGCTCTACACACACTTGGCGTGTAGTTTTCGGTGGAAGGTTGGTGCTCAGGACCAAATCCTCTCGAGAAAGCCGTCCCCTGCTTACTAACATATCCGGACGTCGCCGATGACGTCTGTCGATTTATCGGGATCACGACCTCCTCGGCTCGGCATGAACGGGCAGTTGGGGACCTCACTTCTCCCACGTGTTCTCGAACAGTTGGCGCTGATTGCATGTAATTGGGCGCTGGGTAGAGGAGCACATTGTCGGGGTCGTTTGTGCCCAAATCAGTCTCTGTGGCCTTCATGTCACCGCGCGAAGGGCATCTGAGGCGCTGATGAGGCTGGAATCAATCCCTGCTGCGTCTTCTGACTTATAGCGAGTGAGAGATCTGGAGCCTGACACGAGATCGCTTACGTGCGTGCAATGCAAATGTGTGTGTGTGTGTGCTATCTCGCAGGCTTACGCGCGCGCGCGCGCATGCCACCAGAGGTGAACGCAGCTCATGCAAACTCGCGAGCACGCAATCGATAAGGGGTGCGCACGCGCGTGCGTGCGTGCGTGACAGCACCCGAGTTATCCTACTTATATAAAAAACGGCAGGCGAGCGTGCAAGACGAGTAGGATGCATGCGGGGGGATCGAACTTGCCATCGGTTCTGTGTTGAGGAAAAGACAATGGGAAATTGCATTAAACTAGGAGTGTGAAACTAGCGCAAACAAGAATGTTTACTGCCGCGAAGGCGGAAAAACACCACAATCGCGCTGATCCTGAAATCTTGGGATTTAAATTACAGGTTTTAGGTGAAAGTGGATTTAGGTTAATTAGTCAAGAGCGGTAGCAATAATGCGTGCTCGTCACCACACAAAAGATTTATTTTGTCAATAAGACTGGCGATTTCCTGAACGGCTATTGGGCGCTCACATCACCGACGAAATGCTTGCGAATGATGCCACGTACGGCTAGTGACGAAACTTAGTGCTCCTTCTGTTAATTTCAATGAAAGCGAAATCGCGATGACCTGACCAACTGCGCTAATTAAGGTAAATAAAATTCGCAAGGGCTACCTTGACCTCAGCAAAGCATGGATACGATCTAGTCCAACGTTAACAGAGTCATTTTTCGTCACACAGATCTCACTTCTTCTCTGATCCTATTCTAATACAGCCGGGGTGAAGGATTTCCGTTTCACTTTTGTTCTGAACCTAAAATCATTCTAATTGGTAGATTAAAGACTTAGCTTTCACCACAACATGCATATATTAGTTTGTTGGCCAATCATAATCCTCCAAAATCACCTTTCCGAGCGTCTATTGGTAGACCCACCTGATGTTAATATTCCTGGTAGATCCCGCATTGACGGGAACCTTGAGAGTCGAGCCGTAGTTTAGGCCGCGTTTTCCGTCCTCCGACATCATGCTGCGAGTGCGCTGAAGTTCGCGACGCGTCTCAATCAACTCGTCCATCAGACGCTGCTCGCGATCCGCATTTCGGCTGTCGACGTGGAGGGTCACCGGTGAGTGACCGGCCGAGGCACGCGTGTTACCCCGGTTGTCCACTGACAGCAGATCCACCTTCGAGAGTCCGGAGGCAGTCTAAGAAGGCGTAGATTAAACAACCTAGAGTTCGTGTAGGTTCTTCTTCGAAGATGGTGGAGTAAGTCTACCTACCTACTCTAGAGTATCTTAAAACGGACATGTCTAAACCATTCAGAGTTCTTCTTTCAATTCAGAGGCTCATGTTGATAATTTTTAATTGAGAATGCGTATTTATTGATGCCAAATGATCACGGTTTGCAAGAATGTGAAGGTGCAGATATAGACACACACCTCGTCAACTATGGCCACATCTGCGGTCCTGGAAACTAAACTGAAACTCAACAAGAAGCATCAGCAGTTTGCTCTTTAGAAATATAACAAACACATTACTACATTTTTGATACATATTAGTTGTATTGACTCCAACCGCACAACCCGGTGGTATGGACGTCAAGCAAAAAATCTCACAAACACGATTGTGGCGATGGCTGATAACACCTCTAAATCCACAAATAGATTCTTACAAGTATGGAATATTGATTGAAAGGCATTTAGAGCAATTAATAAATCACAGAACACGCTCCCAAATCGTTGCCATCACAGAATTTACACATGAATGAAATGGTTTGATTAGTCATTGTGACACTAATAAGACTCGAATTTCAATGCAGGCGAAAGCAGGGCACTGAAAGAAGCGTGTAGCAACGAAGAAATTCATTTTTTGGGGTGCAGTCACAGCCAAGTGTCGATTACGCGCAGAGAAGGCTAGTTCCAAAACGCGCGTCTTGATGATAATTGACAACCAGGCTTATATTAAATTTACGAAACTAGACATTGTAAGTAGACTTTCACAATTTCTAGCTGTTTCATCCAGCAGCAAGTCTCCTAATTTGTAAGAGCCAAATGCCTGCAACAGAAATCTCTCATTATCTGTCTCCTTGGCTTGGTATTAAGTTGTTACACACCAACCAATCGCCTCACAGCGGTACTCAACCGGAAACGAATTAACCAATCAGCGCGCTGCAAAGCCTGGAGCCAAATGACAGTGGTCCTGAACGTACTATTATTTGCCCATTTTTCACACGTGACAGCTAACATTTTCACTAGACTAGGCTGATTCTCTCAAAATGTGCGACACTGCTTGGACCAAATGACGTGATTTGGCTCCCCCCATTTTGCTACACCCGTAGTCCTTCACCTCAGTTGGGTAGTGACATTTAGCAAAAGGAATGCCGATTAAAGAAACTACAAAGTCGCGAGGTAGGAAGTGCCGAACGGGGTAAACAAACATATTTTCGATTTCAGGTAATTACTGCCTTCTAACGAATTCCACTCTGGCTGCGTGCTTTACAGCACACAAAGCCACTTTGGCATGTAATTTTTTTGATTATTAGGTGTTCAGAAAAGTTTGCTCCGGCCGAATGTAAGATTGAAATGAGCCATGGACGACAGTGTCCTGGTGAATCGTCTGTCACCATGGGAATAGGATAGGTTGTTTTCTTGCAGGTGAACTACCGGATTACCTCTGATCATATCGTACATTTCACCAAACACACCAAACGTGTGATTCTATTGTCCTATTAAACGTCAATTCTAAGGTTCTGCTACGCATCACTTGAAAACACCTCACCACCTTGTTTTGGGTTGAGTGGAAAGTGGTTAAATGGACGCAAAACCAAATTGGGTGTGATTCGGCTTCGCCGAACACACAGGCAAATTTTTAGACACGTGAACGACATCTGACCGTGGCAACTCCGTTCAGTAAAAATAAACACACTGAAATTGTAGCGCCTGAAAGGCATTTGAGAAGAGCCAATTTTTCTGCCTAATTTATCACTTCTAGCTAGCGACGTAGTTACTCTGTCCATGGACGATCAAATTTCCACATTGACGCGAGTGAGGACAAGTCAGTTCCACGTGTGATGAGCATCCGTGGATGCACGGAGGAAGGGTAGGGCATGCAACGATGGGAAAGTCTGACAGCCACGTGCCAAGACGAGCTTGGTTCCCTGAATGGGTCTCGCACCTGTCAACTTCTCTTCCCCTGATCGCACATACCACAGAGAAGCACAGAAGCCCTGTCATTGGCTGTTATCATTTAGCACCAACTAGCCTCTCCGCACACACACACACACACGCACTACCAGTAGTGACGCAGTTGGCAGACTTAATAATTACCTGCTGTCAGCCTACAACGGCTGCACAACTGACGAGTTCACAAGGCACAGCGAGTGCAGCGGTTGACCTCGTCTGTTTCGCATGCGCCACCAGGTGCTGGAGTGGGTGCTTATGCCGGAGCTCTGTATTCAGCAATAAGTACTGTTGTAGTGGACTTCACGTGTGCACGTTGAAAGCTACTTCTGCCTTTTTGAAACTCCCCCATGGAGTCGAATTGAATATCGTGTAACCTAATCATGCCGTCTCCATCGTGTGAGACGTGCGTTGGGTTCGACCTTGAAACCAGCCTCAAAATCATGTTACTCTAAGTGAATGTGCAGATGAGCAGCCCGCAGTGAACTCTACACACGCCCTTGGCTGGAAGTAGGCGCTTCGACAGCTGAAATTATCAGTTTAAATTTTCAATTATTAGTCAGTGAGGGCGTTCAGGTAGTGATTGGAGTGCTGTAAGGGCTAGTCATTCCAAAACAGTGTTTAGACCACCCGGAATATCGTCAAAATATGGTGCCAGAGTGCCTTCAGCAAATCACGTACTCCTTCGATGACACCGACTCACCGGTTTCTTGAGATAGATGTCCACGGGTTCTCGACCGCCACCGCGTTTCATGTGGCGTCTGGTGAGAGTGGTGGTGTACCGCCCGCCCTCGGCACCGACTGTCCCCAGTGAAGACCACCGGGTCATCCCCACTTGGTTGAGGCTCTCCCTGTGCTTCATTCGATCCAGATCGTCCAGAAGCCCGTCGATTTCCGCGGTCACGTGGCCCCGTGACTCCGAGTAGGTCCTTGAGCGGTGACTGTCACGGGTTTGGTAGTTGGCTGAAGGATAAAGTTGGCGTGAGACGGCCTGGTTTATTTTGACGCGCCTTGACAGACGGATTATCGGATGGGTTTTGCTTCAAAATTTAGCCACAAGTGGGACAAATCAATCTTGTCTGTCTAATAAGCATCCATTTCGTGTCGATGATGTCGATACTTTGCTAAGCCGTACGAGTTTTTACATAAATCATGGATGAAATTTAATTACAAATGCCAGAACAGTTAATAAAAACTTAATAATGCCACACAGATCGGTAAAAATGTCAAGTTTATGCTATGACCTTAACAATAGTTGCTCTTTGCCAAGTTCGTCCAAGACAGTGGCTAGACGGTTACTGGTGTTAAAAGTATGTTAAAGGGAATTAAAAAAACGCTGTCTAATTGGCTAACTGAATCGCCCTAAAAAGCGGACAAACGAATAGTGGTGAAGTGAGGTTTTTAAAAAAAAAGAAAATATGCGAAAACGTAAACATCAAAATAAAGAAGCCAAATCAGCACAAGGAAGCAAACTTTAGTGCCGTTGAAGTTTAAAACCGTCGGTAGGTCAAAGAGGGTTGTGGAATAGGGCAACAATGAATTGCGTAAAACCCAAATCTCAGTAATAAACCCAACTAATTCGGGATGTAGACAAAAATTTCTTGAGGTCCTAGCACTTGTCGATCAACCAAGGTAAAGCAAAATAATTCGCATTGCACCACTGCTTAGAAAACCCAAGTTTTCTGTTCCGAATCCTCTTTAGACCCCGGATCGTTGTTTTCAACAGATTGTGGGGAGTTAGATCAAATTTAAACACCCTTCTCAGAAGCAAAGCGTGGCTACTTAAATATGATACTCGGCCAGTTTCATTCGATCCTTCGTTTCGTCGAGCAGTCTCATACAAGTTTCTCATTTTGCCGTAGTTGGGAGTTGGAGCGTAGAGCTTCTGTTGATGGATTTCGTCAATTGCTGGCAGCTATCGTTAGTTTCTGAGATCGCGTCTACTCACGTTTAAAAATGCTAATACAGAACCCTGGGCTGACTATTTCTTGAACCAACGGCAGCCTGCATGGACACAAGAAATGACTTGGCATTTTGGGGTGCAAATTTAGGCGAAATATTATGCGGAACGTTTCATTCCAGTCACTTTGTTGTATCTGATGGCATTTTTTGAATGGGGTCATCACCCAGAGGTCGAAAAGAGGTCAAATTTCTAGAAAGTGCACACTTCGGATATCACATCACTTGGCACTTCGGCAGAAAAGACTGCATCGAAGATCGTGTCTGCATGTCGGTGATAAGAGCGCACAAATTCCAGTCTGTACAAATTTGTGAACAGTCTGAATACCCCGGGATAACACTTCGAGGGTTCTTGAATTTAGAGAAAAAACCCACAACATGGAAGTGTTTTCAGTAGTTCCACTTACGTTCCGCAAGTACGATTAACTTACCAAACAACCCGTTTAGTTTGGCACTTGGGAGCACGCCAATTTCCCTAAACACACACACACCTTCTAATGACCAGAATGTCAGCTATGCAACAAATGTACTATAAGCCTCTGACAATCTAACTAGCCTCGCCCACACAAAGACATTATTTCGAAGTACATCGCCCAAGCTTGCTAGAATAAAACGAGTGATTGAGATTAGCTAAGCTGTGTAATCAGGACGTAGTGAAGTAGCCCATAAACGTGGCTTCTTCACTGACTGTAGTCATGAAAATTGAGAAGAAAGCAGCCTAATTTACACACGCATCCACACACACGGCAATTCCGGGAAATTACCTCACATATTTCTGATTTCCCACCCAAAAAAGAACAAATAAAACCACTTGGGAGGTGAATCAGGACTGTGTGAACGTCGGCCATCACTCACAAAACCGCCACTTCGAACGTATCCAAAGGCTGAGAAACTGCGAAAAATCGCGGTGCATTCAGTCAACAACTGAGGCCAATTTTAGCTTGCTGAGATGCCGAAAAGCATCGGAGCTTTTCTCGCCATCTAAATTTTGAATAATTCCGCCCTCGCATGATGAGATGCGCGCATGTGTCGGCGTAAGTCATGCTGTGTTGTTGGCTGGCCAATCAAAAGTGTTTTGCTTGCAATAAACCATGTGGCGCCGAGGATACCAGGTGATAAACGTCGAGAATGTCAGCCACAAGAAGATAGCCCATTGCATGTAGCCGGGTGAATCTCCCAAACACGAGCCCCTTGGAATAACAGAGGATTTCGCAAGCTAAGCGCATGCAGGGCCCCAGTTGACTACGGAAGCACAGATAAGTAACACAGTGGAGTTAATAAATGATCCGGAGAAGCATCTGTAAGATCTTGGACTGCTTCTGCTTCCATCATTAGACCTGCTAACGTCCATTCCAAAGTGCCTATTGGCCTATTGAAAAGCCAATTGTGGATCCTAACCACAGGCGAGAAGATGTTTGCTGTTTTTTTCTGGAACATCACTGATCTTGTTGGCTAGAAGTTGGCAGTTAAGGAGGCTCTTGAAGACATCCTACATGCCCATTTATCATTCAAACTAGATGGGTGATTCGTGATTTGCTCACCGATTGGAACAGGCGTTGTTAAGACCGTCTTGATGCCTCCAAGCTTGCAACGATGTTGCGGAGGCGCAACCTGAACTAAAAACCACCCTTAGTGAGGCAGCGAATCGAAACTGCGATTCATCGCATAATTGAAAAAAAAACACATGCATCAGCGGAAAATGACGAATGCAAAATGAGGATGCGTTCATGCATTTTGTGGTATTCACACACAGTAGTGTGGGAAAAAACAAGCCTAAACACGGCATTGTGGGAAGTAACCCCAAAAAAGTCCAACTTCGCGGCCAAATATCGACAAGCTCGAGGCTTCCATGGCCTTTGGCTGATTATTTAGCAATAAAAATCCAACCCTCCAGTGAACAACTGGAGGAAATTGGTTTGGGAATCTTGGTTAAGAGTGCCGAACGCAAAACTTCGCCGGCTTTTTTCTACCAAAGGGCTCGTCTCTGGTGTTTTTAACTTTTCAAGTTCAAATATGCACGAAAAACAGCAATTCATCAAGGTTAGACTCCCGAAAATTCCACATGCAGATGCGTTGGACGAGCTGGGCCACTTGACTTCACACTTCAACCTGGTGACGCACATTGAAGGGGGTATTTTAGTGGAACCAGCTCAAAAACTTACTTGGACACTAATTGTTAATCTGGAGACCTACTGTACTTCCATCTCATCCCACTTACTCATCACACATCAGGACACAGAACGTGGAGTGACGTCTGGATCATGTTTGATGACTTCACAATCAGATGCTCCCTTCAAATGCTGACCTAATTAAATAGACTTGCACAACGGCGGGCAACAGACGCAGAGTTCACTCTAGTTAATTAAGTCCTGTCCCTCGGCGGTGTGACGAATATTAACTTCATAGTGCGACGAATCAGACCTACTGCCAACGTGGTTAGGTATCTGCTCTGCCTGCAATAAGAGCCAAATCAGTATTCTCTTACACTGGGTCGTCACAAACCTTACTGAGAATTGATTTTGGATTGACGAGCGCGATTCTTGTGTGGCTGAAATGCAATTTTAATCTACTAACACCCCTCGGTAGTTTGTGGAACCGAGTAGATTAGGGGTAGGGGTGATATTTGGGCAAGGGTGATTCAACGCACTGCTCAAACAGCCATTTCTGCAAACTCGTTGAAAGCATTTTTAAGGAACAACACGTAGGTCATTTCGAGACAGTCCAGTTGTTTAATAAGCTGGTAATTGTCCAACTCTGTGTTCGTTGTTACGGAGATCCTTTCAAAGTCATGTTGTATCCCCAGGAAAAAACAACAACTTTAACGAAAAATTAAGCCTATAGCAGGAAACACTGGGTCAAATGTAGAGACAAATTTGGGTTTACTGAAAACGTCACCCGTGCATAGGTGCAAATTTAGCAAATCCTTGTTTGCTTAGAGCCACAGAAGACCGATGGCATGGTTTCAACTTCACTGATGTGTTCAATTCACCCTCTTGTACATAGGGAATAGTCGATTGAGGGACTTGAATATGCAATGCGGCAAAGGTGTTATGCGAATTGAAAGCATTCAATTGGCGAAATATTTAATACTGATTTATTTGCTGATTTCTCTCCCGGATACTTCTGGTTTGGAAAAATTAACTTCGATTACGTTAACAATTGCTATGTTCAACACACAGCAATTATCAAAATACTGGTCTATTTCTGATGAAACTGCATAAGGTCATTAAACCTTTACGGCAAATTAACGGTCATTTCAGCAAAGTAGGATTCCACATTCTTGGCGTACATTTCTGCCCTGAAATGCGTTTCGGGGCCCACTTGACCTTGCACTATAACCCAGAAAGATCAGACACAGTGCGCAGTTACTCGCCTGAGGCTTCTGACCACTTAACTTACGGTATCACTTGTGAAATGATTCCACTCATGGAACTTCCACCTCATACGACAATCGGCATAGCTGTCTGATGGGCTCAAACGCCTTGTAGGGGCCTGAATTAACACTACCGCAGAGCCCTATGGATAAAAGCCGGTCACACCCCGATAAGAGAGAAGACAGAGTCGACAGAAGCCACGACCGTTTATTCGCGTCACGCCAGTCAAGTCGAGTAAAATCGAGTAACTTACTTCTGTGTGCGTATCAATACGCGTGCGTTACAGGCGATTGCCCATAAAAAATCAATAACAAAGAGGCTGAGTCACGCGCGGCGGCTGTCTGTCCACTACAGTGCATTCGCGGTAAAAATCGATTGATTTGTCTTCGCTCACGAATGTTAAGTGTGCTGGCTTGCTGGTCGCCACAGCCTAAAACACTCTCTTAATGCCCATTTTTGGAGTCAGGCATAATTCGCGAAAGTTTATTTTGCATAAACACACTCATAAACCGAATGCCATGGGGGTGTGTGCGTGTGTGTTTGTGTGCTTCTAAGTGTCCATATTAATTGCCCGCAAACGCAGCCGGCAAGCAAAAGTGCGTTTTCCGGCGATCTGCAGAGCCACGCACCAACGAAACTACGAAGCCCGCGATGCGTGTGCCAAATTTACGATCGCACAGTATCG